TTCGTTGTCACAGTTCGAGACCCCCAGCTTGTATGCTTAGCATTATAATCTCCACCAGCCATAAATCTATGTCCTAAGGAATTAAAAAACTTTTCATAATCTTCATTCTTAATGTTATGTTTTGGAGGGCTGTAAAGTGCCGATATGGTGATGGGTCCCACCCAGTCTTGAACAACGATGTTTGTTGCTTGTATTATATTAGTACAGTAATGATAAATAAATAACACTGGCAAACTATTAATAGGATTCTGCTACCCATTGTGCGGTAACTCCCATAAGCGCCCATAACGACACACACCGGAAGAGATGGAGTAATTCTATTCTAAGTTGAATTCACACAATCACACACACAAAGTATTCGTAATATTCCAAATTTTACTTTAAAAAAAATCAAAATCAAAAAAATTTTTAAACGACATAAATGAAAGTACATACTTGTTGAACGTCAAAAAGAACTACCGCCAATTCACAAAAACTAGCCTTCGTCCTGAGAAGAACTGGCAAGAAACTCGGCGGGCATGTCTTTTTTTCTTTAATATTAAATATGATAAAAAAAAAAATTATACAACAGAAATGAAAGTACATACTTGTTGAACGTCAAAAAGAACTACCGCCAATTCACAAAAACTAGCCTCCGTCTTGAGAAGAACTGGCAAGAAACTCGGCGGACATGTCTTTTTTTTTATATTAGATTTTTTCTTTTTTAAATACCTATTAGATTATTTTTTTCAAATATTCATTTTTACAATGAGTATTAGAACGTAACAATTATTGCAATATTGAAATGCCCGGAGCGAGCAACTCATTCCCACTTTGTGCAATCTTCTAGGTTCTGATAATCATTGACTTTATAGTAAGCTTTATTGCACAGATGTTCTTTAATAGTTTCCTTAAACCTATGTATATGTAGGTTCTGAACATCTTGTGGGATTTTGTTGTACAGGCGCACAGACAAACACCCGAATGAATTTCGTATGTTATGTAACCTACTCATCGGCACAACAAGCTTGTGTTTGTTCCTAGTATTTCTATTATGTAGGTATGTCCGACTTTTTAAGAAACCCCTCAATATGTTTACGAACATACATCAAATTTTCAAAAATGTACTGGGGTGGCATAGTGAGAACTTTAATTTCTTTAAAATTTTCCCTCAGGGATTCCCTTGAGTGCATGTTATAAATAGCACGTATAGCTCTTTTCTGAAGAATAAATATCATTTCTACATCGGCCGCATTGCCCCATAGCAAAATGCCATAGGATATGACACTGTGGAAGTAACTAAAATAAACTAAACGAGCCGTGTTCGTGTTTGTTAACATTCTCATTTTTTTTACTGCGTATGCTGCAGGGCTGAGTTTTCTCGCCAATTTATGAATATGAGGTCCCCACTGCAGTCTTATGAGGTGTTGATCTTATTCCGCCTGAATCATTTTTCATTTTATTGATTTTTATTCCATATCACTTTTTGTACAACAAATATGTCTTCAGCTGTTATGATAAAAAATTTGGCTGTATTGCCTGCGTTCCGTTTGCCTATCTAAAGAACAAAAAAATTAGTAAAAAAACATAAACAGACACAAACTTAAAGAAATACAAAGTAGGTTAATTATTTGTACGAAAAAGGATTCCGAAGATCTTTTTCTTATTGCAATTAACGTACATTTATACATTAAGAAAAATATCATTTTAATTAGTTTGTACTATTCTCTGGATTAAAAAATTTATGTATAAGGCTAGCTAGGCTAGCTAGGTATAATTAAAGCCCGGAATCCTAAAATCCGGACAATGATCGAAGACACAGAAATAGCAGCGTTATCCACAACTGGCAAAATAGATCCGACAGAGTTCGATGTGACGATTGCAGCGTTATTGACGGGCTTAGGTGCAACTAAATATATTAAGATTTTCAAGTAAGTTTTCGCAACTAATTAATATCAAAGTAACAGCACATATTCCCCCAGTAAAACTTATTATTTTCTTAAGAAGAAGTAACTAGTTCGGTATAAAAAAAAATTGATTAAAGTCTAACTAAAATTCAAAGCAAGTTCAGCAAAATTAAAAAAAATCGCTCTCTAAAAATGTATTTCATTGAAAATGCTTATCAGCAAAGATAAGGAAAATATTGAAAAAAAAATTGTAATTCTTTTAAAAAACATAAAAGTTTTACTATGTGATAATAGATTTAATTCGTAAATTTTAAAATGCTTCATTTAATGCAGTGTATTATTTAGTTTTTTGCAACTAAAAGATTTGAGACTGGAAACAAATTGCTACCATTTTCAGTTTTTCTAAATAATCCAATACGTATGAAACCACAAATAACATAATTCAAAGCATGTTCATATAACTAACCCAACTTCACAGCTTGCTAAGAACTCATGTTTGTAACTGTATAACTGTAGAGTGTATTAAATGCTCTTGCTCTTGACTATGTAAAGTAAAAAAATATTTGTTTTCTTTTTTTAATTAAATGTATAAATATTTTAGAAAGCACAATATAGGACAAAGTACTCTCATAGAATTAACAAATGAAGACCTCATAAAACTAGGCTTAGATGATGATGACATCAGAAAGAAGTTATTGGAAGAAATAAAAAATTTACCCATTTATGAAGAATTTTCAATAGAGTGAGTGACTTATTTAACTTGTTTGCTATTTCTTAAATACATATATAAAAAAATGCTAACTATCTGCCATATATCGAGAGGGATGCAATTTTTCTCTTCTATCTTATCCTGTCTGGAACACCTTGACTTACCAATAACCCTATTTAGTATCAAACTGTAATGAATAAATAGAGTTTACATGGGAAATTATACCAAGTTTAATATTAACGTAGGCATTTTCTTGTCCTTGTATTTTGCACTCTTAATAGAACATGTGAAATCAGATAACAGGATGTAATAAACCAGTTTATCGAATGATCATTATAAAGGTGTAACCATTACTTTCCCCGTTTTCTGCCTATATTATCTTTACAGCTCCTGTTAATTATCATGTTAACTTTCTCATACTATCCAGTGAGATAAGGGCAAGATAAAAAAGAAGACACAGTGAAATCAAGTTTCTAATTTTCAAAATATTATTTTTAGTCTCTTAAGAAAATTTCTTCAATAGTTCAAATGGAACATTTGTGAAATATAATTAGTTATTTAGATGAAAATTTTTAATTCACCAAAATTCTATACTTGAATCTGTAAAATTGAATTTTTACTAAAATTCTTCTGATTAGACCTGAAATATAATAAGCAGCACTATGAACATGAATGTCATCTCATATTAACAACAATCATGTGAAAAATTGACAGGTCAAGAAATGATTTTGGTATTAGTCCAACTGAAATTGCTGATATATTGGAAGCAAGCTCTGAGCACCTGTACAGAATATACTTGAGTATAATGGCCAACACGTTAGCTTTGAAGAAAACTAAGAATATTACAGACTGTTTGATATACCGTGATCAGTACGCCTCGAATATGGCACAGGCAGTATTGAGTGAACTGACAACGATTTTAAATTCAATGGAAATCGCATTGCACACAAGGCTAAAGGTAAGTAAAAATAACACTACTCTATTAGTAGATTGGAGAAAAACAGGCAGAGTTCCCTCTAAACTTCACGTCTTAAACTTTCGCTCTTTTAGCTTGTGGTTGGAAACGAAATACGAGCACCGTCTCGTCTCTTCCAAAAATTCCGCCAACCTCGTTGACGTATCACAGTATAAATCTGATGACCAGTCACTCCACAAAATATTAATGAAAAAAACAAATAGGCCTAGTATAATAGCACCATCCCATTACTTACTCTGGTTTTGAAGAGGTTGCATAAGGGATTCACTGGTGAAACCATGTACTCGCACATTTAAATACGACTTTCTTCTTATATCACTTAAACACCAGGTGGGCGCGAGTTCCTTTGCCCGTCTGTCTAAAAAAAAATTACTAACGTCGCGTGACAGTACGCTTGACTATTTTCTTGTACCACTGGGAAAATATCTATTTGCCTATGCAGATCTCTCCACTATGGCGGAATCGAGCCTAAAACTAGGCAACCTCATTGAGCATAAAGGATATCCTAATATACAAGAAAATGCTCGTAATAATACTAAATTTATATGAGCAGATATATTTATTTTTTCAGGTACTCACGTCTGATACGAAAAAGCGTAAAAACAAAAAAATCATCGTGGGAGTCACAGGTAGTATCGTGATAGCAATTTTAACCGCGTTTTTTGTACAATCTTTAAAGAGACTTTGATAAATAAGTATGTTACTTATTGACCCACGCTATCAGCATACGGCCCAGCAACTATTAATATTTAGAATGCGATAAGTTTTTTCAACATATTAAAATATATTTTATTCTGAAATGGTTTTTAATTGAAACATTTTTACAGTTAATACAACCTTCGATGTAGTACGTAAGCGAACTAATGAACGATAGTAATGAAGAATCTAACAGCCCTTAAAATTATCCTGCCATCTTTACAAATCTCAGCTAAGCAAACGCTCGAAAATTTATTGTGCAATGGCACAATGCAAGAAAAGTCAATAGGCTAGCTAAATTATGTGGTAGGCAGCGGCTTGACTCTGCCCCTGGCATTGCTGAAGTCCATGGGCGACGGTAACCACTCACCATCAGGTGGGCCGTATGCTCGTCTGCCTACAAGGGCAATAAAAAAATATAGAAAAATAATCCAAATGTTTTGAAAAAATGCTTTATGATTGGGCTTTTAGAGGTTTGAAGCATAATGTTACATGTCCTTGAATATAAATAAATAATAATCTCCAAGTCTTGAAGTCGTCGTGGCTAAAGGTATGACGCCCGGTGCTTTCGTATCAAGCGAAGCAAACGGTGTTCGAATTCCGCAGGCGGATACCAATTTTTGTATTGAAATTACATACTTTTATTAAGTATGTATTCGATTAGAAACATTGGTAGATAGATAGGTTCACGATAGAATTCCATGGTGAGAGAATAACATCGTGTAATAAAAAATCAAACCCGTAAAATTATAATTTGTGTAATTACTGGTGGTTGGACGCCTTGTGAGTCCGCACGGGTAGGTACCACCACCCTGCCTATTTGTCTGCCGTGAAGCAGTAATGCGTTTCGGTTTGAAGGGTGGGGCAGCTATTGTACTGTAAAAACAGATCTTAGAACTCATGTCTCAGGTGGGTGGCGGCATTTACGTTGTAGCCTATGAGCTCCGGTGACCGTTACTTCGACCCAACTAAGCAATAAAACTATATAAATGTATACAATAATAATTTAATATAAAAAAATAATCATTTTACAAAAATAATTATAAATAGTGGCAGTGAGGTTTTTAAATCGTTAAATATCCTTTACAGCTGCTATTGCTGTTTTGTTATTGATGTTCGCTTACGAATTGTATGCATCACAATAAACATTTCCAAAATGCAATGTAATAAACATGCATGCACGTAAATTAACTGTAACGTTGACCCAATTGGTATGACCTTACAAATCAATAATTTGATTATTTACCTTACGTAAACGGTGAGCTGTCTGTTGGGTAGACGATGTGGATCATCGGGAGTGACGTCAGACGCGGGGCGCTCCGGAAGCTGGAAGGCCGGTAGCGGAGTCCCGCTCTCCCTGGACCGCCGAACCCGCTTTATTGCGGCCGAGCTCGCCAATTGAAACGCGTGTCCGCTGCTCGAGCCCAATCTGCACTTGCCCCTTCGACACTGATATTTTGAATATCGTATTTATGATTTGAAGTGTTGTGTGACAATGAACCGCATAGTGCATATCGTAGTTTTAGGTGTACTACTATTGACGTGCTGTATAGCCGACGAAGTTATTGAAACAGGTAAATGAAACGCTAATTTATAATACTTTTTATTGCCCGTGCCGCTTAGGCAGACGAGCATATGCCCCACCTGATGGTGAGTGGTTACCGTCGCCCATGGCTCTCAAAAATCCCAGGGGAGAGCTAAGCCGCTGCCTACCGGTATAATACAATAACAATTTGGAAAACTAAAACTGAACAAGTAATAAAATTAAATGGTAACTCGAGATTTGGTTTGAAGATTACACCTACAATCACAAAAATTTCCGACCTCAAACTATGTATGTTCGTAGACTTCACAGAAGCCGACTTTCACTTTAGAGACCTATGAACCCGCGTACCTTCTATAAAATATCTTTATACGTCTAATATAGACAGATCCAATTATAGTATAATCCAGCGTGACAGATAATGACCATGCGTGTTTCCATCTCGATTCCTATCTTTTATCTAAAATCTAAAAGACGTTCCCACGAACGTTCTGAGCGGACGCTCGAAAATTTCAAAGCGTGCCTACCGTACATAATTAATGGCAATTTTAGCTAATTCAGTAAAAAAATAAAAGTCAATGATGATAAATATCTCCGTCGATATGTTTTAAATATTTTATTTATAAACCAAATTACAAACAAGCACTGTTGCGGTTTGTATAATTTTTTATTGAAGATTCATCGTTCATCCTGACTTGGCTTGACCGAACATGACAGTGCAAAAAAATTATAATACCTACATGTAACACTTTCTAGAGACTATGAAATCTCACTTCTTATTTTGTCTGCCTCGTCTGTGTTGTCTATTTTGTTTGTGTTTCACGGAATGATGAGCAACGGTTTCTTATTTACGACTTATTTTCTAAAGCTGGCACGGTATTTAAACGTTCTTTAGAGTTTAACGTGACCATTGTGTCGGACAAGTAATAAACAACATTGCTTTAAGTTAACATATAACCATAAGAACTCGGGATTGAACTTATTATTAGAGCTACGTTCGTATACTTTTCGAAAAAATGATAAATCCGGTATCGAACGCGTGACACGTTTACTTCACAGCGATAGGTTTAATCTTTTAGATATACTAGTCTTCAACCAGTGACCGAAATTAGACGATAATGACTGGTACCTTAAGAATAAGATATTACATTTGTTTGTTATTGAAAAGTTTGATAAAAATATAAAAATATATTGAAAAAGCTAGCTGTCAATAGCTCCTAAACAACAACAAAAAATGTAGCTACAAAACATTTCAATACCAAACCGAACTATCAATTAATTTACCTTTTTTAACCTGTTGACACAGGGCCTAATTCAGAGTATTAGAGCGAAGTTATAAACTTATTGTACCTAGTCCAACCATCAGTTCTGTTACAAATGAAAATGCATTTTATTTAATGAAGAAAAATAATCAGAACGCGAATTCTACCACTACTATTCAGATGCGAAATCGAGCTCATCTGTGTTCACTGCTGTTCTTTATTTTCTAATCTTTTTTTTTTATTGATAGATGGGTGAATGAGCTCACAGCCCATCTTGTGTTAAGTGGTTACTGGAGCCCATAGACATCTATAACTTAAATGCGCCACCCACCTTGAGATATAAGTTCTAAAGTCTCAACCATAACAACGTTTAACTATGTATAACTAAGTATAACGTATAGTTACAACGGCTGCCCCACCCTTCAAACCGAAACGCGTTACTGCTTCACGGCAGAAATAGGCAGGGTGGTGGTACCTACCCGTGCGGACTCACAAGAGGTCCTACCACCAGTAATTACGCAAATTATAATTTTTGCGGGCTTGTTTTTTATTACACGATGTTATTCCTTCACCGTGGAAGTCAACCGTGAAAATTTTACGTATTTCATTAAAAAAATTGGTACCCGCCTGGGATTCGTACACCGGTGCATCGCACGCACGAATGCACTGGACGTCATATCCTTTAGGTCACGACGACTTCTAATTAATAATATAATTTCGAATAAGATGTTCGGTTCATCACATAGCTAAGTGCTTTGTTTATCAAAAATCTTGTACCCTGCCGTTTATGACACCGCTCGTTGACCAGAGGTCGAAGTCTTAAATGCATTAAAGTACCGAAGAAACAGAGAACACAAATCATTTAGTAGATAAATAACAAACACTTTATTGCATACCGAGTAAATAATAAATCATGAGCACAATAAAAACAAACAGTAATATTATATATATTATAATATTGAAAGGTTTTTTTCGTTCTAAACGATTGATGCCACTGAAACTTATTTTTCACGTAATTTAACATTTGTATTATTTTTATATATGTTAGTAGAAGTCATTGTGGGACACAGCGCAGAACTTCCTTGCAATGTCACAGCCAAGAACGAGAATGACAGACTAAGCATATTGGCCTGGTATCGTAATGAATCTGCAGTGGCTTTCTATAGGTATCGTATGTTTAAAATTATTAATTTAAGATTCGTTATTTTTTGTTACAATAGATTTCATTTCTCTGTGAATTTCAATACTATAATATCGCATCAAGTATTTTTTTAAAACAATAAATAGTAAATTTAATTTATGTATAAATAGCGATCACTCTATAATGCATGAGAGTAAGTAGGTAAATAACAGCATTAAGGTCACCTTGTTTCTTATTTTATTCTTTATCGGTTAGTTGGGTGGACGAGGTCACGGCTCACCTGCTGTTATGTGGTAATCGGAGCCCATAGACATGAACAACATAAATGCCGCCACCCACCTTGAGACATGAGTTCTAAGTCTCAATTTTATAGTACAACGATTGCCCGACCCTTTAAACCAAAGCCCTTTACTGCTTCACGGCAGTAATAGGGGTAGGGTGGTGGTAACCCTATCCGTGCAGTCTTACAAGATGCCCTACCGCCACTAATCATTTTTGCGGTTTTGATTTTTATTACACGATGTTATTCCTTCACCGTGAAAGTCATTAGTGAATATTTTATAAGTACGTATTCATTATAAGAAATGTAACCAGTATGATTAGTGCGAGTTTTTTAACGTTCTCTATAGCGTAAAAGTTAGCTCAATATTGTATGCAGTTGGAACAGCGCCCTTAGCGGCAAACGTGCCTACGTTTGCTGATCCCATTCCATACAAATATGAGCTAACTTTTACGCTATCGAGAACGTTAAAAAACTCTCACTAAGCGCTCTCACTGATTGCGGAATTCGAACACCGGCACAGTCGTATCGCTAGATATGAATGCATCGCGCATCTTATACCGCATGTCACCTTAAAACCTTGCTTCCGATCTAGAGTTTTATTTATCTATCTATGTAAACACTAATAAAAAAATATATATTGCTAACGAAGTCTCATTCCATTCAACCTCTATCATCAGTCGCGACCTCCGTGACGGTGCAGAAAACAGCAACCCATCTCCCGACAGTCGATACCGACTTGTTACTTCAGACTCTGAAGTCATGGATAAGCTGCAGATTGTAACAGTACGACCATCAGATGCGGGTCTCTATCACTGCCTTGCGGACTTCGAGTTCAGCCCTGCTCACAAGACTAACGTGCAATTAGTGGTTATTGGTTAGTGTTAAACTATAATTTGTATATTAATCTATTTTCTATTGCATTTTAAACAACAGCCTTTCTTTTATAAAATAAACGCCGAAGTCTTTTATGTTACGGATGCAGTAGTTCCAGTGTTTATCGTTCAAAACAAACGTATTCTTTACCGAACGTGAATTTTACTTGTACAGCAAAACGTTGTGTTTCGGCCGCCTCCACTAATTGGCCCGCCGGATAATGAGGAAGCTGACAACGCCGGAACAATTCGCTCTATTTATTAAACCATTGCGCGATGTAAACATTTCAACGAAATTAGCAATTTAATTAGGTACAATGTATGGCGTTAGAACGTCACACGTTATATTTCGAAACACCATTAAAGTTTTGCTATAGAAAATAATCAGATAGAAGATAGTGTTTTAAATAAATTAAATAATTGACTTAAACATTTATAATAAGTCGAATAAAAATTTACTTACTACATACCTATATATAAATTTATCTTTAGGTCGTGAGTAGAAAAGGTATATAAAAAATGTAATAAAGAACCTATCATTCTGCGCGTCCTAGTTACTTGAATTATAATTATTTTAATCGTTTGAAACTTCTGGGTCTACCTTAGTTTTCACTGTTTCTCGTTTTTACCACGGCATCGCCCGACACTGGAATACAGTTCATCTATATTACCTAGAACCACTGCTTTAATCCACATATTTGATGTAGAGCCTCCACGTCACTTGTGGGTGATCCACGAGAACGGAACTCAGGTAGCTAAAGCAAGCGCAGGAGTCAATGTCAGTAGGAATGTGGGACCATACTACGTGGGAGATACAGTACATCTATTTTGTGTCGCCTTTGGTGGTAAGTTTTCTCTAACACGACTTTTCAAAAATAAATAACAAGTTGTGTTATTTTAGATTAAAACGACTTCTTTGTTAACAGCATTTTATATTTTGATGTGTCTGTGTGTATTTATTTTCATATAATTTATCATTAAAGGATTAACGTCGTATGGACATGTGATGCGTAAAGAGCAAATGCATATGACTAGGAGATGTATGGAAATGGTAGTGTAAGGTATTGGGTTAAGAGGTTAACCGAAAAAGACATGGATGGAGCGTGTGAATGATGATTTGAGAGAGAGAGGACTGAGTGTTGAGATGACGGCTGATAGAAGAAAATGGAAAAGAAAAATTCGCTGTGCCGATCCCACCTAGTGGGATAAGTTGGGGACAAAGAAGAAGAAGATAATATATCATTAAAAGGACTTTGAAATTTTAGATAGACAAATCTCTCTCACAATAATCACCAATATAGTTTCTAAATCATGTTAATGACAGGGAACCCTCAGGCGACACTATCCTGGTGGACAGAGCAACGTCTCCTGAAGAACTCATCGACAACACTCTCAGAGCAACGAGTTCGCACTAACATAATGTTCGGTCCTCTCCGGCGTGAAGACCACGGCCGCGTACTCACCTGCTACGCAAAAAATAATGAAAGAACGAAGCCTCTTTCAATAGACATTATCATAAACATGCTCTGTAAGTTAAGAAAGTTCTCTATCATACTAAGGAAGTAAATCGATTAAAATAATTTACACTGTAGTATTTTAGTGTACAGGAAAAACTCCTTATCCGCGCTTCCTTCATTCGCGGACCCAATTTTTATATTTTCGCGGCTAAATTTTGGTAGGCAGCGGCTTGGCTCTGCCCCTGACATTGCTGATGTCCATGAGCGGCGGTTACCACTTACCATCAGGTGGGCCGTATGCTCGTCTGCCTATAACGGCAATAAAAAAAAAGATTACTTTATTCGCGTATCTAATCGGTACATTGGTAACATTGGTACAAAAGGATTTCAATATGTGAGTATCTAACCGAATATCCTCTGCAATTAGTAAAATAGACCTTATTACAACTATGCCTAAAGTATATTTTTATTTTGTCACCTAGGAACGTATCCCTTATATGTAGATGTAAATTACCATTCCTTAATTACATATACCCCGCTAATAAAGATATAATATAATTACTGTATATTAAAATATGCAAGTGCCAACCCTAATACAATTATTTGTTAAAGGACGATTGATTCGTATTATGAAATCGAAAATTTCTGGTTAAATTTTACGTAGTGCCTCCGGAACTTGTATCTATACGGGCTGAGGGAGCGTTTACTTCGGGCGGTGTTGAAGGCAGAGTGCGAACTGGAGAAGCCATAACATTGCAGTGCAGAGTAATTGGGGCACACCCCCCACCCCCACTGCTGTGGAAGCTTGACGATTCGAAGCTTGTAAATTTAGAGCAGAATATAACAGTGAGTCATAACATTCTCGAACTGTTTTTAGTAAGACTTACCTATGTAGTCATTTTCTTTTCTTTTACGAGTTGGTCTTGTTAATTAGTCCACAATAAAGTTTGTAATTTTAATTAAAATGCGTTTATTGTCCAGCGATACTATGAGGTACGATTACTCTAATAATAGTCTCACTAATTTCAAGGCATAAACCAAAGTACTATTTCTTTAGGTATATCTGTAATTCATGTTAGCTTACGTAAATTCTTGTGTTATGACATTTATAGAAACATTTTTTTCCTTACCTATACTGATAGTCTTGAGAGGCTATTTCAGCTTCACCTTAACGTGTAGGTGAGCTCACGGGGCTCAAACCGGGAGTGTTGCTAACACTGGCCCTAACAAGAGCAGTGCTTCGCAGAATCTACCACCGGATCAGAAACTGTGTCTATGGGGGGTAGAAACATATTGAACGCTGTCTGTTAAGAAAAAACATGTGTGTTTTTGTCATAGATGGAGCCTTCACAGCGCCTAATAGTTAGTGAGGTCCAATGGACAATAGACCGTCGGTACGATGAATCCCGCGTGACGTGCTGCGCCCTCAACTACCAAAGAGGAAATGACACCTTCGAATGCGCACAAGGAATACCTCTGATTGTTTTGTGTGAGTAATTTTCCAAGTTTGATCATTCTTGGTTGCAAGCTATCCATACCTACTAAAATTAATTTATGTTTGTGTGCAATTCACACGCGGTATAAGTGAAATCTTCAAAAGTTCTCAAAAATCTTCAAAAGTCTCATTTCCTCGCGGGCTTAATCCTATATAGCGAAATATACCTATTTATCTTTTATATGTTTTAACGTCGCTTTTCTGTTTATCGAATTGTAAAACACAACTTTGGTGAAGAATTAATTGTTCGCTTCAATAAAAAATGCTTAGATTAATATACATTTATATACAGTATATTTTTTTTGGTATTTCCTTTATTTACGTTAGCTTATTTCAGTATCAATTTCAATAAAATAAGTAAGCGGTATGTAATTTGAATGACCATTTGTTTCCACTTCTTTACCATTGTAATATTATTATTACAATATACTGTACTATTACAAGATACAACATAAGCCAAATCGAGACTATAATCGGAGCAGTTGCTCCATATGTTGTAGAATAATTCAAATAAACAAATATAAATAAATAATATGCTGTGTAAATGTAGTGGACATCGATGTACATTTGCCCAATAGGATACGATACGATATATCATACATGTATTACGCCCTATAAAACTACACAAACTGACTAATGACTGCACAAAAATATCGCAAAGATACATCGTTACCGTGTGTGTCGCCCATTAATGACACTAAATGATGACGCAAAGGTTTTATTTTCATTGTTGTAACCAGGCGAACAAATTAGCTTAAGCACCTATAAGTGTTAGTGTGCTAAGTGTTTTCCGGAATTTATGTATCACAGCGTAGTTGGCGTAAATTATGTCGAAGTCTCTACTGTAGCTTAATAATGGTTGTTTAAATAGAAATGCGTAAATGCGCAGCAGAAATATGAAATAGAATGTATCTAATGGGATAATGATGGCATACCGGTACGGGCCGATTTTTTTTTGGTTCTTTTCCTGGTGGCCGTTGGCCTTTCCAATTTCACTATGATGTGCCGAACACGGGCTCAACCAAGAGAGACGGGCTCAGTAATTACGCACGCAAACACCCATAAAATACAAAAGGTTTTCTCTTACAGACCCTCCAGTTGTAGAGATAATTGTTGAAGGAGAGTTAAATAATAATACTTTGGCTGTTGCAAAAGGCTCTAACGTAACGCTTGCTTGTAGCTATCTAGCTAATCCATCTGTGGACCAAATAATGTGGTTTCATGAGGTAAGCATACACCGTTTTCTTTTAAACCTATTACAAATTTATCAAGCATGGTAGCTGCAAGCTTTAGGTAGCAAATATTAGGTGGCTTTATTCTAAACGTCTCCAGGCTACATACAAAGATTACGACAATTTTATCTACTGTTTGTTCAAAAGCAAAAATGGCCTACAACTTGTTATAACCGGAATTAATTATTATTACTTCACTACACTTGGTACTGACAGTATCTTAGATTGTTCTTGTTTAAATTAAGGATATAAAAATAAAAGAAATACCTAGGTAAGAAAATAGGAGCAGAAGCTCTCGAAGTCCACGGTCATTTTTTGCTAATGAAAGAGACCGTATACATAATGACTTCTGACTGAAAATCAATCTCTGAATATTAGGATTGATATGTTGTAGCCGATATAATTAACGTCTATCTAATACCGAAAATAACTGTTATTAAATGCACGTGTCTCTTCAGTCTTATCTTCAACGTTCACTATACAAAGCTGTGTCAATGAGAAAGTTAATGACAGTTCCGTTAATTGTAACAATAATTATATACTTTCTATAAGTGCTGACTTGCATATCGCTAAAGCATAACCCTTCCTTTTTACAATTCCTTCACGAAAAATTAAAGCAAACAGTGCTTAGTACGTTTTCTGTGGCATTTTAATAATTCAATACTATTATTAACTACATTTATACTCTGCTCTTGATTGTTCCTTAATATGTATGGTTTGTCAATAATTATTAATACTTTTAGGATGCCGTACAAGGCAATGAAGGTGAAGTAAATGATAAGCTGCACCCGATTTTGGACCTGAAGAATATATCTGAGAGCGACGCCGGCAAATACATGTGTACCGCACATAACGAAGAGGGGTTCACAGACAGCGAACCGATTTTTATAGATGTCACGTGTAAGATGATTTTACGAAGCTTTACTCTGATGATTTAGCGCAGCAAAAAAAAAAAATATATCGACATATGTATGAAAATATAATTTTCTTAAACTCTGGCTGCATTTTTTTAGTTTGCTCGAATGAAGTCAGCCGACTAGTTTATGTGTGACGCCCGAAATAACCTGTTATTATAACAACAGGTGCTATTTTGGTTGTTTTTTTTTAAATTATTTTATTAGGCTTTTCTAGTATATTTATTACTCTAAATAAAAATTCACAGTCGACCTGGTGAGAAGTTTGTACCCAAGCTCATAGGCTATAGGACATGAAAGCTCCAACCAACATTCTGACATCAACGGTAGGCAGCGGCCTGGCTCTGCCTCTGGCATTGCTGAAGTCCATGGGCGACGGTAACCACTCGCCTTCAGGTGGTTGGTCTGCCTACAAGGGCAATAAAAAAACTGCAGTCTATGTCTCAACTGTGTTGTATAACGGCTAGCCAACTTTACAAACCAGAACGCATTACTGATTCGCGACCAAAATCAGCAGAACTACGGTAACTAGTACATTGTACAAGTACTAGTAAATTAGCTTCTCTCAAACTTCTCTTAGAAATTTAATAAACAAAAAGCAACACCTATTGATATTCAATGTTTATTTGCGTAATGTTACCTATTCCAGATCCAGCTTACTGCGAAAATTCAATGATAATAGAATACGGTTTGGGCGATGAGGAGTCTATAAATATGACGTGCAATGTCAAAGCAAATCCAGAGCCAATCTCATACCGTTGGATTTCGGTCAATGCAGCCGCGAACATCACCACGCTGCGCAACCATCCCCAGGTTATGAAGGAAACAGATGAACCAATATTGGTTTATGAACGACCAAATAACACAGCGTACAGTAAGTTTAATAAATTTTATTTTTAGTTTTAGATATTACTAGCTTTTGCCCGCGACTTCGTCCGCGTGGTATACTTCACAAATAATGTTTTATTTTAGAACAAATTTGGTTAGCATAAAAAACGTTATAGTGAGCCAACCTTAACACATAGATATATGCTTTTTTTTAATTATTATTGCTTAGATGGGTGGACGAGCTCACAGCCCACCTGATGTTAAGTGGTTACTGGAGCCCATAGACATTTACAACGCAAATGCGCCACCAACCTTGAGATATAAGTTCTAAGGTCTCAGTATAGTTACAACGGCTGCCCCACCCTTCAAAACGAAACGCATTACTGCTTCACGGCAGAAATAGGCAAGGCGGTGTTACCTACCCGTCCGGACTCACAAGAGGTCCTACCACCAGTGCTGTCGCGAATTTTTTTTTAGGTCTTTTAAAGGGGAACAATTCTGTCATACATTATTTTAGCAAAACTCTAACGCACGCAGCGGAAGCTCTCAAAAGATTAAAATAACACCGATTTTGAAACATTCTTTATTGGTGCTCCGCTTGCATTGGTCTTAGCGTGATGTTATATAGCCTATAGCCTTCCTCGATAAATGGGCTATCTGACACTGAAAGAATTTTTCAAATCGGACCAGTAGTTCCTGAGATTAGCGCGTTCAAACAAACAAACTCTTCAGCTCTGTAATATTAGTATAGATAAGCACGCTAGTGGTGCATTACACAAAATTCACAGTTTATTTAATTGTGTATTAGGTAAACGTATAAACACATCTAAAATATACGCATAAAAATAAATCAGGTACAAAGGCACTGCTAATTTCTTTAAGAAATCACTTCCAGTAGACCTCCTAAGGGAGCTTCAAGATAATGATAAAAAAATGATGTTTTGCCTGACATGTCCTTGAACTCAGTTTCCTGTTTCAATAAATATTGTAATTTATTTGTTTATTTCTATTGAAACAGGTACAGTATTTTGTTGGGGTCTCAACGGTGTGCCTGATAAGGAAGCCACGCAAACCCCTTGCACGTATTTAGTAACAGATGAAACGATCCCACGACCGCCTTCTAATTGTGAAGCTTTGATAACTGAAACAAGAGACATTATTGTTAACTGTGAGAAGGGTCACAGCGGGGGATTGCCACAGGTTAATAATAATATGTTATCTATACCGATGTAATTAGGCAGGGACCTTGTTTTTTTCGGTTTTAAAGACCTATATCTACATACCTAGTCAGGTCATAAATTCTGTCACATGTTTAATGTAAAATAATTCAAACAAGTTTATTCATTATGTAACGATTCATATACCAAAATGAACTTAACAAAACATAGATTCTTATGACACTAAAGTTTATTCAAAATGACCTCCGTGATTTTGAATACAGGCCTTCAATCTGCGTGGCCAGTCGTCTATCGCAGCACGAACGAGGTCCATGTCAATATCGGCGGCTGCCTTAATCAAGGATGTCTTGAGTGACTCCAAATTGGGATGAGGCTTTGAGCACGCCTTTTCCTCCAAGTGTTGCCATATCTTGTAATCTAACGGATTCAAATCTGGACTGGAGGAGGGCCAGTCTTCGTGCCGGATGAAGTCGATTTCACGCGCCGCCAGCCAGTCTTGTGTGCTCTTCGCTCTATGAGCTGGCGCCGAATCTTGTTGGAATACCCAGTGCCTGTTATTGAACATGGTATGAGAAACAGGTTCCACAAGGTTCGTCAGGACTGTATTTTGATACACAACTGCATTCGTTTTTACACCTTTCTCACAAAAATGTACCTCTGTTAAGCCCCAATAAGAAACTCCCAACCATACCATGAGCGAGGATGGAAAATGACCTCGTTGGACACGCGGAATACGGTTGCTCGCTTCTTCACTACTGTGTGCGTACACCTTATCATTTTGTTTGTTGTAGCTCTCTTCTACGGTAAAAATTTTTTCATCCGAAAAAAGAATTTCCCGATATTTTTTTCCCGCGTACCGCTTCAACAAAGCGCGGCATCTCTTCAGTCTCAGGTCCATTAGACGAGCATTCAAACGATGTCCTGTTTTTCTTCGATATGCCCGAAGCCCTAAGTCTTCATTTAACACCCTTTTCACCGTGGTTCTGCTTAACCCCATCTGAAGGGCCAACAGTTTCTGCTTACGTTTGGGATTTCTTTGAATTCGCGCCTTCACAGCTTTTATCACTGCTGGAGTCCTAACAGACCGAGGGCGACCACTTCTTGACCTGTCATCTACACTAGAGTCTTCATTGTATCGTTTGATGGTACGATAAACGAATCTTTTGGTTATATTCAAAATTTTCAGTATGTTAAAAATTTGAATTGGCGCGTAACCGCAACGATGCAACGCAATAACTGCAACACGGTCTTCTTTAAGCGTCCACTCCATATTTAAAAATGAGTAAAATTCTAAAAGTATACATTTTTATTTTCATGAACAATTCGAAATTCGAATTCAATAAACTTTTATGGCTTTAAGCACTTTTAAGCACTTTTACTTTTTAAGCACTTTTGTGGCCAGCATTCTAAAAGAAAAGTTTTTACTGTGTGACAGTACTTATGACCTGACTAGTTATAATTAAAATTACTTTTACCGTTTACTTACGCTTTTATTGTTTTTCTTTTATTATTTCTGACATTTCGTATACTACAGTTTCAGTGGTGAAGGAAGATTAAGATCTTGTACGTCCACATTTAAATTTTCTAACTAAATTTCAAGCTATTTCAAAATAAAATAGTTAAATACTACCGATTTCCTTTTTTTGTGTAGTAGGTATCGCCAGCCGTTATCCTCTTTTTTTTTCAAAAATAGAAAATCATACAAAATAGAAAATGTGATAAAAATCTTATTATTGAGGCGTCAATAAAAAGTTAAATAATTTTAATACTTAACAGTAGCGTACAGTGTGGCTAGGATTTAAAATGTATCCTAAATATCTACTGTGTATTGTAGATACACTGTTCATTACTATTACTAGTAAAAAAAAATGATAATTTGAAAAATATTGATGTAGCCATGTATTATGTTTCAAACGTTAAATAATTTCACAGCGCTTCAAGTTTTTCGTGAAAGAGGAAGACACAGATAAACTCATAATATCCATTGTGAGTACAGAACCGGAATTTAAAATAGCGGAACCGAAGCAAGAAAGATACAAGTTTACTGTAATTGCAGTAAATGACAAAGGGGAAAGTGATAGTGTAGAAATTCTTAAAGAAGACATCATTAATAACATTCCAGGTTAATTTGGTACCTCAATAATTCGCATATGGATAGCCGTATTATCATATAAATTGCACATTGTAATTACTCGAGCAGCGAAAGACGCCCTTCCTGCAGTTATTGCCCGTTTAAAATTATGCAGACTTCATTTGGTGTTTCAACAAACGAATCGCCTTATCAATACAAATTCTTAGATTACTACAATTATATAACGAGCGAATGGAGCATACGATAGTCGAATGATATTTTCAAGTATGTTCTGGGATCCATTTAATACACATCGAGTAAATGGTTTGTGTCCTTATCCGACCGCGACGGGGCAACGCAAAGCCGCCGTCACCCGAAGCATGTCTTGTCGGATCATCCGGATTCACTCTCCGTGCTTTTAGGCCTCTGAAGCACCGGTCACCATCCTCGTCGAATTCGTCGATTACAACGAAGAGATCGGCGAGTGAACTAGCCCATAGACACAGCCCACTGAGTTTCTCGTTGGATCTTCTCAGTGGGTCGCGATTCCGATCCGGTGGTAGATTTTGCGAAGCACTGCTCTTGCTAGGGCTAGCGTTAGCAAATTCTCTCAGGTTGAGCCCGTGAGCTCACCTACCTGTCCGGGCGTAGCTGGAATAGCCTCTTAGGCTACCAGCGAAATCCAGAAAAAAAAAGTTTGTGTCGGTTGGTTTAGACCCGGATCAGCCCCAGAGCGCTGTTGCGAACATAACGACGCTATCCCTGGCGCTGTGCGGCGGCGTGGCGCTAGTGGCGCTGGCGGCGTGCGGGCTCGTGCTGTGCGCGCACGACCGCGGCTCCGCGCTCGACCTGCCGCGGCCGCACTCGGACCCGCCGCTCTGCGCCTACAATACTGAAGGTACGCTTACTGCCCACCAATACCCCACGCTCAGTGTGCTTAGTGAGAGTTTTTTAGCGTTCTCGATAGCGTAAAAGTTAACTCAAATTTTTATGCAGTTGGAACAGCGCCCCTAGCGGCAAACGTAGGCAAACGTTCCAACTCCATACAGCATACAAGAACCAAAAAAAACTCGCACTAAGCACACAGTTGCCTGATTGATGTACATGGCTAATATACTCAGATAACTGAAAAATCTGAATACCGTCACTTGCGTTTTTTTTACTTTATAAATTCACTTACTGAAATTACTTTTTTTGACAAAATTCGTAAATGTACACATTTCATTTAGATTAATAAAATAGTAACTGCGACAGCCCCACTTTTGAATCACCATTGTTATATGATAACCAGAGATACAATCGCGTCATAAATATTACTGTTTTTTTTAACATTATATTGAATTGAGAAATTGTATTGTAATTAATAAAGCTTAATTACAAAATGTATTTCTCTTAAAGAATCGAACTGCGAGACTTACCACGGCAGCGAAGACGGGAGCGAGTGCAACGTGAGACGCACGGAGTCGTTCCGGCGAGCCGTCTCGAGGTACCCGTCGAAGAATTTCGACGTGAGGAGAACGAGCTCGTTCCATTCGGCGCGCTACGCGAATGATACCGAGCCAGAACCTTCGAGCAAGTGCAACGACGTCATCCGCTACGGGAACAACTGCAGAGTGCACTCGCTACAGAACATCAGCAGGAAGAGGGACACGGATGCCTTGTGCGATCATTTAGTTCTACATCTGCCGCCGGAAACGAGCTACGGTGTTCCTAAGCCGGTACGACTGATTGTGCAGATTGCATCTCGCCGATACTCAAACGTTTATTTGTATAAAACAAAACAACAAAAACAAATTCTTAAGAAATCTTTTTGTGGAATATGTACCAAAAATCTCATAGTGAATTTACAAAGCAAGCAAAATTGATAAATTTGTGTAAATACTGATCTGTCTTGCCTATTATCTGCCGTGTGGCAGTCATGCGGTCTAGTTTATAAGACCACTAGCAACCCGCCCTCGATTCGCTTCGGAAACTGTCATTTATTATTGATTTCTCCACTATTTAATGGATGTTATTATACATATAAACCTTCATATTCAATCACTCTATCTATTACAAAAACCGCATCAAAATCCGTTGCCTAGTTTTAAAGATTTATGCATACATAGGGATATAGGAACAGAGAAAGCGACTTTGTTTTATACTATGTAGTGAAGACACAATAGGATTGAGACATAGAAGGTGGTTCGTGGGAACATCTATCTATCTCGCTTTCACGATAAAATTTTAATGGAGGTTTTGATTTTGATTGTATTATTATTACAACAATTTACGTTGCTTACAGATGAACACGTTTTACACGATACCGCGTAAAACGAGGCAAAAACAAAGCAGGGAACTGAGCGACGAGACTTCCGAAATAACTCAAACGTCCGACGGATTTTCGTTGCCGCCCCCGCCGGACGAGTTCGGGACCTACAGGGCCGCAACCAGGATCCGGGATATACCGAAAGCCACGCCTACATACACGACGGTCGTAAAGAAGAACTCCACCGGAAAGGAGCCAGTCAAATATCAACAGTACAACGATGCGATATCGTCAATGAACACTGTCGGAGTCGTGCCGACAATTAGCGCGACGCAAGCGAGCGTGTACACGTATCCTGACGACGACCACCGCGGGCACCAGGTAAATACTAATCCTTTTGAAGACGATTCATCATAGTCGAATGTTTTTTAACGAATTCTTAATTTTAAAGGAAACGCCGAGCACTCTCGGAACCGCTAGCGTCATACCCACTTACAAAGCTTATTTTACCCCAAGAGAGTGCGGACTGTAATAGCATTATGTACTTTTTAGTAACAACGATTTCAATATCATTTTTAGGATTTTAATTTATTCGATACTAGCGACCCGCCATCGCTTCGCTCCGGAAACTGTAATTTATTATTGATTTCTCCACTATTTAATGAATGTTATTTATTATACATTTAACTTTCCTCTTCAATCACTCTACCTATTAAAAAAAACCGCATCAAAATCCGGTGCGTAGTTTTAAAGATTTAAGCATACATAGGGATACTATGTAATGAAGATGAGAGAATCTTACACCTTTTACCAATAATCTAGATCTCACTATTCAGTAGATTTAATAATGAAACGAATATTGTTACACGATAAATATTTATTTACAAAAATAGAAACATTTTTTTTTCTTCACAAAATCAGTTAAGAATTAAACTAGATCACTTTTCGAAATACATGATTAAATGAGGTATTATATTATATGGAACAATAACCGTGACTATTACATTATACGGTACAAAACATTTTCATTATAATTCAATGTTATTATCACTGCCAACGGAACAAACAATTCTGCCAGTTAATTATGTATAGTCTAAATATTTGTGCACACTAAAATGTTATTAGTTATATCTGAGAACTGTACCAATGAAACGAAATAAAAAAATAAACAAGCAAGATTCCATGTTTTTATTTATGATCAAATTATTCAATATTTATTTTTATCAACAGTCAACAGTTTTTGATTTTATTTACTAACAAATAGAATAATACAGCTAATTAGAAATATTTTATTGAAACCAGTTTTTGGTAAAATGTCAATCACGCAAAGAAATTAAGCTCTCATCACATTTAATAACCTAACATAGTACAAACAGGCGAATTAAGAGGCAATATTAAAAATAAGTGAAAGTTATATGAAAACTATCACTCTGTGTTTTGAATTAGTAACCAATGCTTAAATTCATTTGTAAACTTTATCTCTGTGCTTTACTCAAAGACGCTCAGCTATAGATGGGATACTTAATATTAGATATATTTTAATGAATATTTGCCCAAAGTATACGTACATTGTTTAGTATATAAAAATTAAAAATCCATGTTAATATATTAATATCAGTCTTGAACAAAAAAGGTGACGAAATCAGACTGAACAGAATTTAAAAAAAAATACTAAAATGTTTCAGTGAAAATAATAACTAAAAACTTATCATTAATCCATACGATCTAGGTGCGCCTGTGCGACTGACAACCTTTCTATCAGGTGTTGTGTGTTGGGACGAGCCTGTTAACAATGACATATTAAATACATTTCTGTAATATATTGGCAAATGTGACAATGTAAATGTAAAGGAAACAAAGGAATCATTAGATTAGCAGGCGAGAGTTACATCTTCTGCATGAATCCGTTCACAACAAGCCCGGACAGTTGCAAGGAATCTTTTGTACTCCCCATAATATTCGTTTTAGCAGTAAACACCACGACTTTTCAAATATGCATAAATAAACAAAGCAATGTATTTCGACAATAAACATACCATTACTTATTATATCATTACTAATACCAGGTCACCGTCCTCGTCGAACCCGTCGCTTGCGACGAAGGGCTCGACGAGCGAATTAAACCATAATAGACACAGCCCACTGAATTTCTCGACGGATCTTCTCAGTGGGTCGCGTTTTGGATTCGGTGGTAGATTCTGCGAAGCACTGCTCTTGCTAGTGTCAGTGTTAGCATCACTCCGGTTCGAGCCTCGTGAGCTCACCTACACGTTAGGGTGAAGCTGAAATAGCCTCTCAAAGCTATCAGCATAGGTATGATAAAAAAAAAATACTAACACAATATATTTATCGACAAATTCTTTTTTGATAAATCGAATTAAAATAATGATTTACAAAAGGTTGAAAGGCGTCTTCGTTAGTTCTAAAAGATAAGTCACAAAGTACGGACCTGAAGCGCGGACAGGGCGGCTTCGTGTAGGTCCTTGCAGCGGGCGAGCGCGCGGCGCCGCACGTGCGCTGCGAGCGGCTGCACGTGCGCGCGCGCCGCCTCCAGCAGCCGCGCCGCCGCGCCGCACGCGTGCGTCTCCTCGCCGCAGCCCAGCCACACGCGCTCGTTCACGCTCACCAGCCTGCGACCACGACAACTCTACATCTGTGTGGCTTAGTGCGAGCTTTTTAATGTTCTCGACATAGTATAAGTTAACTCAAAATTTGTATGGAGTTTAAACGTTTGCCTACGTTTGCCGCTAGAGGCGCTGTTCCAACTGTTGTAACTGAGACCTTAGAACTTATATCTCAAGGTGGCGTTTAAGTGGTTAGATGTCTATGGGCTCCAGTAACCACTTGACACCAGGTGGCAGCGAGCTCGTCCACTCATCTAAGCAATAAAAAAAAACTGTATACAAATTTGAGTTAACTTTTACGCTATCGAGAACGTTAAAAAACTCACACCAACCAAACACTGGCTTACTTACGTGCGCTTTCGAGAATCGCATAACCCATACACAATACAATTGAAACTACTACCGAGACATGATTCAAATTGTTTATTGATGAGTAAAGAGATGAGTGATTGGTATGAAATATAGCTTTTTTTATAATTTACAACAATATAGGAATTAAGCTTAAGAATAAAAACGAACATATTTATTAGTGTTAAGACTGGTAAAATAAACATCACACAAACATTTAATTTTAATTGTATTTTTTTGTCCAGGCTTATGTTCTGGTTGGTACCAATTGTACCATAGTATGTGGTTTGAAATTCTCGTAGACATTATGAAGTAAGTAGGTATCATAATTTTTTTTTGAATGTCTTTGAACATCACAGAAGTTTTTTCAACATAATTTAGCAAAGATAGTTTATTTATTATACATTCTTGTTTTATTACTTTCATAATTTATTTATAAAAGGACAGACTTCGTGACTATAATCAAAATATACGACTGTTTATGATGACTTCTTTAGACATTAGATTCTTACGTGACTCGTAAAAAACACTGCAAATACCTAAACACAAACTGGACTAAAAATTATAATATAAATAAAACTTCCATACTTGATGTAAATATCCAGTACTTGTTCAAGCGAGACTCCGATACTTAGAATCGCTTTGAACACCATGCTCTGATCCGCTCGAAGTTTACAACTCATTATTTCTAACTGGCGTGCAATGAAATCTGTAATTAACAAAAAAAAAGTTATTTTTGTTAATAAAGTTGTTTTGTTCGCTTTAGTCATTTTGCGGAACTTTTTTTTTTCTACCTAAGCTGAGAGCCTTGAGAGGCTATTTCAGCGTAACCTTAACTAGTAGTGAGCTCGCGGGGCTCAAACCTGACGACGTTACTAACAAGAACCCTAGCAAGAGCCGTGTTTCGCAGAATCTACTACCGGGTCGGAAACGCGACCCACTGAGAAGATCCGGCGAGAAACTCAGTGGGCTGTGTCTGAGGGTTAATTTACTCGTCAAGCCCTTCGTCGCAAGCGACGGGTTCGACGAGAACGATGACCGGTGCTTGGAGTACCTAAAAGCACCGTTAGTGGATCGGAAGGATCCGAAATGATGTAGCGGAACTGCTAAGCACTCACACAAGGGGAAACAATGTCCGGTGTTGACATATTCGCGTCCCAGAGTGGTGATTTTACTGAGCACCGAGGCCAGCCTCTCGTCGGGCGCGGGCAGGGCGCTGGCGGCCGCCTCCGCCTCCGCCAGAATGTTGCTCCAGATGTTCTCGACCAGCAGCGCGTCGTTGTGCCCCGAGCACTGCACGATGGCCAGCTTGCACTCCCACAGGTTGTAGCGGTCCGCGTACTCCTCATACAGCTGTCAGATTTATAAACAAGAATAGTACATTGTGCACCAAGGGAGACACGCGGGATTAGATGTCCTACTTTTTTCCCGCGGTACACATACTATTTTTTCTCCTACAAGGCCGAAAGTTCGTGGAGTATAGAGCCGGGGACCAGGGGCGAAGCCCCGGCGGGGGGTAGAACTCATAAAAAAAACAATTTAACTGTTTTTTAATTTTTAAATAAACTACTACTAATTAAATAAGAACTGTCTGATAAACTCATCTTTGTTTAATACTTCACTATTAAATTTTATTGCCCTTTTGTTTATTTCACTTTTACACTAAACACAATATTGCAAATTACTCGAGCACAACAATGTCGAAGAATTTTAGGTGCGTGAGAGCAGACGTAGACACTAACGCGCATGCGCACTTTTCAGTACCTAGGGAGAAAAAGTTACACTTTCTTCCCTGTTCAGCGGGAGGAAAAGTTACACTTTCTTCCCTGTACAGCGGGAGGAAATGTTACACTTTCTTCCCTGTACAGCGGGAGGAAATGTTACACTTTCTTCCCTGTACAGCGGGAGGAAATGTTACACTTTCTTCCCTGTACAGCGGGAGGAAAAGTTACACTTTCTTCCCTGTACAGCGGGAGGAAATGTTACACTTTCTTCCCTGTACAGCGGGAGGAAAAGTTACACTTTCTTCCCTGTACAGCGGGATTAAAAGTTACACTTTCTTCCCTGTACAGCGGGAGGAAAAGTTACACTTTCTTCCCTGTACAGCGGGAGGAAAAGTTACACTTTCTTCCCTGTACAGCGGGAGGAAAAGTTACACTTTCTTCCCTGTACAACGGGAGGAAAACCGAACTTTCGGCGTAGGTAGGAGAAAAAAAAACTTTTCTTTAACAGCAGTCGAGCCGAGCTAAGTTAAGCTGCGAGTTCATGACGCATTTTAATCATGTTTTAGATACTTTATCTATTGTAGTGTATTATAGTAATTGAAAGTTTGACAGCTATTTCAAAAACATGTAAGTATTATTATGTACTAGCTGTACCCGTCCGCTTCGCTGGGCATTTAAAAATAACATTATTATTTCTCACCCCACAAAGATTCTCATAATTAACGCCCCCGCAACTGGTGTAGGGGGTTCAACACTCATATAAATATTAGCCTATCCATTAAGTACATGTATTTTCTACACGGATACCATGTTTCAAGTCAATCGGATGCATGGTTCAGTAGTTATAACGGAACATCCGTAAAAACCACTGTAGATTTATATATTAGTATAGATTAAGGATAAAAGGTATCTGGCAAAAACGTTAATAGTTCAAGATGATTGAGCATAATAAAGACATTTTTATAAGTATTTAAATAAATTTAAAATGTGTGAGCACCTGCGTGATCTCGAGCAGCTCGTCGTCCAGGCGCTGCATGTGCGGCGGCGGGGGGCGGCGCGCGGCGGGCAGGGCGGCGGCGGCGGCGCGCACGGCCCGCTGCACGCGCGCCACCTCGCCCGCCTCCTCCAGCCGCCGCACCACCTCCCCGCCGCCCGCGCCCGCGCCGCGCACGCACACCACGCCCGCGCACAGCCACGACATGCGCTGCGCCAGCGTCGCGCCCGACCTGCACAAACCAAACCACACGTGATAAAATTATCTTAACGCTGTTACCTTTCTCAAGTCAATTACTTTTGTGGGTAAATTATCGTGCGCTGTAAACTGGTGAGGGTTCAAAATTCATATTTTAAAAATATGGTTAACATGATTATAAAGTACTTGAAATAACAATAGCATCAAATTAATTATACAATACAACAACAAACTTTCTTTTTATCTCCAGTACCCATTGACGAGTATACAAGTTACCCTTAAACATCAAATTGTAATATTATTATTAATTAATGGATACAGAACGAAAGTAAGCATACCCCGGTCTAGTAGCGAGTCCCTCTAGGACTTGTGCGGCTGCGAGATGATCTCCGCACTTCTCTAAGACCTTCCACAGCAGGTCCAGTAGGTGGAGGGAAGCTGCGGGCGGCGCCGATCTAGCCGCCGCCTGCAGGTATGTCCGCAATGAGGCAGGTGGCGCCCTCCCCAGCGACAATAATTCTGCAATGTTATCAGAAATGTTCACTTCGCTCCATTTCCGCCTCGTCTCAGTCGTAGAACTTTATCTCTGACATGCACGTACCCGAACCGAGATTCTTGGAGACTAGCCATTCATAAACGGCGACATGCAACAGTTCGTCATCTCGTGACAAGCACTCCCACACCAGCTTTCTACCCTGAAACCAAGGAAAAGACAAGATTTAACGATGCGATAAATTTCCAAAAAAAATTCAACAGAGATATTTGTAATAGCGTCCGGTTGGTCCAGTCTACTGTCTTTAGCCCAACTGTTTCACAGTCGAATAGATTAAACTCACTGGCGCTACCATTATTACTCATTATCCTTATTTAGGTTATATTAATGTAAAATTTTATATCCGTGCAGTGGCGTTGATATATAATGTAATGTGAACGTGAAGTGGATGGATATGAAGTCCAAACCCCGCAAGTTGATATCAATGTTATACAATGCAATTGAGACTTGGACCTCTTGTATTAAAGTGAGTGGCAGCTTATAGGAGTGTTACCATGGGCTTTAGTAACTACTTTTCATCAGGTGAATAAAAAAAAAGTAGTTATAATATACCACTGCTACAATTACTAGAAAACTTAAAAATATGATTAGTATTATTGCATACTTGATAGTTGGCATCAGCTGGGGACAGAGTGACGTCAGCGTCGGCGGAATGCTGCGCGGGCGCTCGGTGCGGGGAGGGCTCGGCGCCCGGCGCTTCGTTGCTGCGCTCGTAAAGACGCTCCAGAGCAGCACACACTTCGCGATATATTTCCATTCTAAATTCATAAAAATTAATAAATTAAATTAATAAATTAATTTTTATAATATAAATAATTAATTAAATGCATGATCGTAACTTCAAAAATTACACGGCAGTTCGTTGTATTCTATTATTGTTTCACAAACTACTGTCGCACAGTGGGTCGACACTATGATTTCAGTGACTTAGGGAATAACTTTGTTTTTTAACAAAACAACTTATGTGGATAGATAGAGCTCGTTAATCTCAATAATAATTGTTTTGGGCAAAAATTACAAAAACTTTATTGTATGGACAGAAAAATGTGTTTTGTGTTTTTTTTGTATGGAGTGGATCAAATTAAATGAAATTCCTGCTAAGTACCGCGTGGTCCCGCTTTGAAACTCTATTTTTCTTATACCTTGTCTAGTCTACTATCATTTGATGCTATGAACATGTGCATAAAGTTGCAACTCTGCCAAATAAATGGATCGAAAAAAATGAAAAAATACATAGAATAAAAAGAAACTTGTACAAGTTTTGTCATTTCTTGCTTGTACTCTATGGAAGGTTTCTGTCATAGTACAGTAAAGTATGACAGGTAGCGAATAATTTCATTAATTTCAGAACATAATTCTAAGAGTGCGAAAAACAAATATTTCTTGGAATCGGGTCTCACTAGTTATATTTTAAAATAAGATTTTATATATTTACAACTTTACCTTCTGTAATAAGCTAAATGTCCTTCTCTATCTTGCGTGGGCTGATCACTTTTATAGTAATGCAGTGCTTTATCCTGAGGATCGAGTTTGCAGGCACAAGTAGCGCACAGTTCCACCACCCCCGAGTAAAACCCAACAGATGCCAGTTTTGAACAAACCAATGGCAGGTTCACATTTGGGGCCACATCCTGTATCGAAATATATAGATTAGCACTTAATATTATATATAACTATGTTGTTTACGTGTATGACAGCAAACTGTTCACTTACTTTACACAGTTTTAGGGCATGCTGCAACATTTCTTCCCTTTCCGTGGGATTCTTTTGTTGTTTGGCAAACATCAAGAGTTCGTTGGCCTGGAAAATATTTACTTTTAATAAAGTAATTATTTGCATAACTGCAACATATTTGGACAAATAAATTTCTAGATTACCTTGGAGCAAGTAGCGTCTTCTTGCCTGTACAATGTTGGACATAATTGTCGTAGTTTCTGTGAAATTCCATCGACAGAAGCATTGTCACGCAGATATCCTGCCACCAAAGATCCTAGAAGTAAGCACGCTACTTCCTGACCGCCAACCAGTAATTCTCTAAAAATTAAAAGAGGACATTAATAATATTGACATTTGATGATTGTTTGCTATATAAATTTTTCAAAGGACAATTTCAAACTGAAAGTCAATTTTAAGACAAAGAATGCGTGAAATACTCAATAAAAAATATCTGTTCAAATTTTTTCATATCTGTTGTTATAATAGTTTTTACCTAAAACTTGCTGCTTGAAGAGCATTCTGCTGATCTGCGGGCAGGCTCGCAGCTATCACGTGAAACTGGTGCTCACATAGTACTCTCCATAGATTCAACATTTCTATTGCCATTGCTGCAAACATGAATCAACATCATTTGGAAATACATGTGTAAAACTGTAATCATACAACAATACTATAAATGGGAGTGTGTTTGTTGATTTATACTTCTTTCATGAAACAGAACAATATATTCATGTGGTTTTTTTCAAAGAACTAAATCTTCATTTTTATCCTGAGAAAAAGCAATATCAGCAAAATACTTAATTATTACAATGTTAAGTCTAAAATGTAGTTCTGGTGAAACTACACCTAATGTTTAATAATAATTTTTCTTGCCATTGAACGTATTGTTTAACTAGTTGTCACTGTACCATAACACCAGATTTCGATACCCGGTTGGATTCAATTTAATTGTTGGAGAAGTTTGGTATTCGAGGTCTGAATGTATTGCAGAACCCATAACCTAGGAGAAAATCATCAATTTGGGCCGTTGAATGCCAGTGGTTCATTAATTACATATCTAAATTATTACATTTAATATTGATGCTAGTGAAGTGTGAAATATTAGCATTACAAAAAATTCTGTATTGATATTATTATTGCTGCTTTATAATTAATATAGTTTAATGAACAAAGATTGAAAATCGTTAATAAAGATTAAAAGAATTACGATATTATTCTAACAGTCAAAATTCTATGGAATACCTACTCAAAAATGTAAGTTTACTTACAGACAAATAACTTCAATGCATTTAGCGATGTGTGCTCTTCAGAATGTTGCGGCGCCAATGTGCGCTGCATGAACGCCGCCACACGTTGCAATTTCTTGGCTATGTACGCACAGTCCTCGCCTGTCACTTGACTAGACATCTGAGAATGTACGGAATATCAGATCTCAATTAATTGTCATACGATAATTAGATTTAAATTATGGTGACTGGTTTATTACTTACGAATTCTTTACTGTCCGGAGTCTGGGATTTCGAGACGCATTTTAAATTCCATATCGGCAACAGTATTCGACCGACGTAAATATAGAGGCCGTTGTGTTTCGCACTAAATTCAATTGGCACTGGGTAGTTAGGGTCTCTTTGTTGCTGAGTGATGTTTCCGTTGAACGAAGTCTGGTTGTACGGGGTCGGACTCATAGAGTATTGCGGCTGTTGCGTCATCATCGAGTGGTTCGGCGACCCCGGGAATGACTGGTTCATGTGTTGTTGGTACGACTGATTGAACTTGTTTGCTTGCGGTCCCTGAATTTGACCCTGCGGTCCTCTCGACATGGGCGTTGACATTTGTCGCGGTGAAAACTTGGGTGAACCTAAAAAATCGCGAATCATTTATTGCAAGACATTCAACTTAAAAAAACGAAATCTTAAATAACGTTTTTGTAAATACCTATACTGGAAGGCATCTGTGAAGAGTGCTGATAGATTGGAGCTGGAGTCATCTGGGTCCCATATAAGAAGAATGCTCTGGTAGCCCACTCGCTGATTGAGAGGTCACTGCTGATGGTATCCTCGCACGCCAAATACAAGGCGCATGCGCATGCTTGTTCTACACTGTGCAGCTGTAATAATAGTTATCATTTACGATTATGTTATGACAGTACAAGTAGAGTACACTCAATATTATTCTGTCCTACCATGTGGGTGTTTAAATGTATATCATGACATACCTGAAAGAAGTCCTTGACAGCATGTGCTTCAGGACCCCGACAGTCTCTAAGTAATGTTCGTAGTATGTCTGGAGCAGCTCCGGCTGTTATGATACAGGCTCCCGCCCCTGTCACTACTGCCCATCGCGAGACACACCACACTTCTGGTAAATAGACATTATTTTGTTTATTTTATCTATATACTCAATTCATGTTTTTCATCAACCTGGATGGAAAATCCAATTTTTGAATGTAATCATGGTTGTTAGGGAACCGACTAAAATTCCCTTTTTCCTAATCCACGCCATCTAGCGGCCTTATGAAGAATTGTAACGCGCCTCCTATCAGGCAAAGAAAAAGAACGAGTCGACGTTTTCGCACTGCGCGCGCAACAATAAAAAAGCTATTTAATTCAACAATTTTGCTAATTTCGCTATTCAACTTGTGCGTCTGTCCGTGTGTCTTAAACTCCAGCATCCAGAACAGTGCCCCGGGGACAGAAGACCACAAACAATATCAAGCAAACATTTGTGAGTACCTTCCCCCCTTTTTAGTCGGTTTAGTTTTCTGGGAATTCAAATTTAATTCAACAAACCTTGTTTATACAACAATGGTAATAAAAACCTTTTTTAGTGAGAAGAGCGTTGGATATGTGAGCGGCGTGCTGGTGAGGCAGCGCAGTGAGCGCCCAGGCGGGCCCGTCCAGCGCCAGCACGGTGTGCGCCTCGCTGAAGGCCGCGCTGCCCGGGATGACGCGGGACAGGCACCACAGAGTCTCCGCCTCGCCGCCACCGGATGAACATATCATTACCAGGGAACCTGCAATACAAATTAATCCATAATTATGGATACCTTGCTCGACTTTCATCACCGTTGCCTTCGCACGTGCTATTAGTCGACGTCGTGGCCTAAACGATAAAAGCCACGGGTTAAAAAGTATCAACGATTATGACGGTATTCAGATATTGGTACCAATTTTTTTGAAAGGAAATGTGTATTTACACCTATTCACTTACAAGTACCATAATAAAGGATGTTTTAAGTTTCAAGGTAGGTTGTCTAATGTCTATATTATGTTGGTATCCTATGCTATAGTCATTACTTTTCAGTAAAAAAGTTCTCTTTATCTTCGTAAAGAGAACTTTTTTTTCCTACCTAAGCTGATACCCTTGAAAGTCTATGTCAGCGTAACCGGGCCAGTAAGTGAGCTCACGGGGCTCAAACCGGGAGTGTTGCTAACACTGGCCTTTGCAAGAGCAGTGCTTCGCAGAATCTACAACCAGATCGGAAATGTGTTCCACTGACAAGATCCAGTGAGAAACTCAGTGAGTTGTGTCTATCTATGGGTTAATTTACTCGCCGAGCCCTACGTCGCAAGTGACGGGTTCGGCAAGGGCGGTGACCAGCGTTTGAGGTAGCTAAAAGAAGATAGCTCAAGCCTGTTTACTTACATCATTCAATAAAAAAATTGTTGTATCTCATTTGTTGTAAGTCATTATTTGTCATTTGTCCTACAGAGATCAACTAAGTATGCATAGAATTTTGTGGCAATTAATTCAACACTGTTGTATCTCATTTGTTGTAAGTCATTATTTGTCATTTGTCCTACAGAGATCAACCAAGTATGCATAGAATTTTGTGGCAATTAATTCAACACTTACCATTTTCGTAAACAGCACTGTGAACTTGTTTTGGCTTTAACACTGATGAATTAGGAGTGAATCCAGGGGGCAGCCTTACATGCAGCATTGTCAAGTACTGTGGTCGCTGTATACCACTTTGGTTTGTACTGTAAATCAAAATAGCCTTCATATAATCAATATTTCATCATGTATTGCGTATATAATGTATATGTAATAATTATATTGTTTTTTTTTTATGCAGCATGGAAGCATTGCATTACTGGTGGCCCTTAGGTCTTTCCAGTTTCACCAAGACAGGTGGTCGAGCACAGGCTCAGCCAAACTTGGTGGATTTGCTAACAGCTACCTAAGCGCCTCCAAAGAAAACCTACGAACCCAAAAGCAGCTGCTTCACGAATGAATCTACTACCGGATCGTAATCGCGACCCGCTGAGAAGATCCGGTGAGATACTCAGCGGGCTGATGTTTAGGTTAGTTGGAATTATATTTGGTAGTATATATTATATTATAGTAGTAGTAAATAAATAGTAAGTAAATAGTACTATAGTATTTGGTGGTATAAGTCTGATACAAATCAATACTTACTCTCCACTTCCCGTGCTAAAATATAATCTTGCTCCAGTCTGTGTGACTGCTACTAAATTCAAATGGTCAGACTCTGATTCATCTACAGCAGAAATTGCTATGACAGGTTTGAAGTTGCTTACTTCCAAAGTTCTGTAAATAAAATTTTTAAGATAAAGTTTTTTACTACTCATTATTTACTTCTTTGATCTTTCAGGGTTGTGTTTGTGTTGAATCTTAAATCAAAAAGAATTATGGTAATGTAAATGTTAAATAAAACATTCAATATTACAAGTTATTTAACATTTACATTTCTTAAGTGACTTAATCTTTTTTCGAATCGGCTAAGTAAATGGACTAATTTTTTTATTTTTTATTTAAAGATTGACTCAACTTACTTCACTATATCCACAGCTGCAGATACAATCTTTCCTTGTGTTAGCCTTACAACTCGACTGAGGCTCTCACCATCCTTGCCAAGATCAAATACTTCTATACAGCCTTTTTCACTGAGTGTATACAAAATGTTCCGGGAATCATCAACTTCAATTTTTACTATCGGATCCTCATCATATAATGCGGCATTTAGAAATGATGGTACTAGGAATGAAAGAGTGCTGGTGGAATGGTTCACTTTCTTGCAATGTTTACCAAACCATCCTAATTGTGCCTGCAAAAGAAGACATCAATAATATACTATAGTCAATTAAGATTTGTTTTTAATCTAATATTATAACTAATTATAATGAATACCACACTAAATTGTTTTTCCCACATAAACTATCTTTGTACTTCTTTTGCCAAATTAATAATTTTATTAAATAAGAAAATAATAGAAGAAAACATACTATGTGTAGATGTGGTAAATACTGAATGCCAAATATATTCACTCCAATTGTAAATCAAACCTAGTTATTATCTTAACTTCATCTTATCATTTCTTTAGATAAAGTATTCCTTTTAATTTTAATAAAAAAGAGGAATGTGATGTTAAAAAAGCTAAAGGCTTTAGCTATCTGTGATAAAATTTAGATCATTGGGCATACATTACTTTATTTAAAATTATAAATTGAAATTTTTTGTCTGGTCCCTATTTATTTTCATTAATGTATAATTACTTATGGAGATATATAGAAATAGCGTTCCTTATATTTATTAAATATCTTTAATTTATCCTGGATTTAATTACCTGATAGGTTATTTCATACAGACAGCCATCTTTACCTCCCATAAATATTCGACCTCTTGAAGTGGATTTAACACACATCATTGACACACCATCAGTTGGCAGAACAAAGACAGGTTCTGAGACAAGATGTATTTCTTGAAATTCTCTTGGAGAATCGCTTTTGTTTGATGAAAATGTCACACCTGGAAATTAAATTCTTGAAGTCGCAATCAACCATCACAATCAAGCATTTTGAATTTTGTATTCTTACCTAATACAACAATTTCCACTGTTGTTGTGAGAACAAGCAAATACTTGACAAAATTCTGAAACACCCCTGGTTTTGGTTTAACTAAGCCAACACTGACTATGGTTTCTCCTAATCCATCGAAATATGCAACATCACTCCCATGTTCAAATGCCCAAACATATATATTGCTGTCTATTGCAAGCCAAACTCTGCTAATTTCAGGGAAAACTCCCATTAAACAATGGCATTGCATATCTGAATAATATTTAAAAGGAAATCATGAATTATAATTAATTTTATAAGCACATTTTTTTAAGTTAGAAAACAATCAATTTTCAGAGTGCTTTCTGTTTGATATACTTTTATTGGGTTAATCTGTCTCAAACTCATTTATTTTTACAGTTCTTTAAATATTTTTTTTAATTTATTTGTTTTCTTTACCAGTACTAATTACATTTTCAGAACCAAAGTAGTGTGAATCTATTAAATATTTTATGTGAGATCATCAATTACCAACAAATTACTAATAAGAACTATAAAAAATTTGTAAATTTAAAATTGTAAAGGATACGAGCAAAGTGTTCCATAATCTCTGGTGGCAAAGGCACTTTGTTGAGAATTTTCAACTGTGACAAGTTAGGATGGTTCAGGAGAGCAGCAAGGTTGCGGTAATCGCCAGCATTTAACCCACTGCATGTTGGACTCCGTTGTGCTGCAATGCCAGTTAACTGAAAATTATTACATACATGTTTATTTTTAGACTAAAATTGAAAAACCATTATTCTTAAATAGAACTTATGCTCAAAAATTTTTCGATGATGTTGATGATGATACCAAAATATGTTTGTAACCTATCTAAGAACATATTTTTGGTTAACTAGATTGAATAGGTAAAAAGAAAGTAACTAATTTTTTGTTTTCAATTTTATACTTTCAATTTATATGCTTTTATTTAACAATTATTTAAATCGCTCAATTACTTACCTCCAAAAAGGAAGGGCGCGAATTATCAAAGCTAATGTACCGGTCAAGCGTACAGCCAGCCAGCTCCAAAGATTCTAGCTGCATTTTGTAGGCACCTCCGTAGAACCTGAGCAATAAAGTATTGCTTAAATCACTTGTGATTGAAAATCTTTATTTCCTATTCCAAAAAATAAAAACTTTAGTTTATTAAAATTCAGTTTTGAGAGGTTATGTATCTGTCAAAAAGTTTATCTTCACACCTTTTCCTAACATATATCTGTTTGTTCGCAGACTATGAATGATNCCACCTAAGGCCTTGACTGACCTTGGTTTGCATAACCAGTTTGTGCTTTTCTGCACGAGGGGGAGGATGTTGTGAACCTCTTTGCTATTTTGATAACTAATGTAGTTTTTTTATATACTTCACTTTTGACGTTTGTCTTCATATTACCCATTTCTTTCTGTTTTCTTAATTTTGTGTTTTTATTAAAAAATAATCATTCTCAACTTGTTTCATCGTTTATCATTTTACAGAGATTTGTTGAGTTTGTTCATTTCATCAACTGAAGGTTAATTATTAGTAAATATCAGAGAATTACACCATAAGAATAACATTTTATTAAAGTCTTCCCGAAACAAAGTATTAAATTTTTATCAAGGGAAAATATTTTGATTTAGAAATAGTGCAATTAGTATGCAATCGACTCTTTCCAAGTGAGAGTAAAATCGTGTTTTATGTAATTAACACCACAGTGGAAACAATAGGAGTTTTATTGTTGCAGCGGCATAAACAATTCTAAGCCATTATATTATATTAATTATTAATAATACACATTATATTTTTTTGTCCGTTTTAAATTTTCGGCGGTAAAAAGGTCCCATGTCACAGCCTATCTTCTTTTCCCACTTCTCGTGCGTTTCAGCTCACGCATCGTAAAAATGTGCGTTCTTAAACGCCACACAAGGCTGAAATATATTTATTTTAACAATAAAAACCCTTGTCCGGTAACGCTAATATAGTTTCTCAAGGCTATCAGCTTAAGTAGGAAAACCAAATGAAAATTATCTTTGAGAGGTTTTTTGGCGTGAACGCGAGGAGCGTAGGAAATGTTTTATTTTCTTATTTTAATGTTTCTGTATATGTAATCATGCAACGATGATGGCTTAATAACCGTTTCGCATCTGCGAAAGTGCACAAGTGTGAAAATATTTAGATCAGAACAGAACAAATATCTTTCTCGGCTGAACTTGTTTGTTAGGTGGGTTTTTATATTATGTAGGTACCATAAACACAAATACAAAAGAAGACCCTGAGAATTGAATCGGCTTATTTTACCTTTACGGCTTACTTTTTTACAGCCCTCAAAATAAGTTCTGAATTTGACTATATTTTTTATGTGTGTCTACTACCCCAGAAGTTTTTCCTAGGTGAACCGATTTTGATAATTCTTTTTTAATGGAAAACTGTTGCTTTTCAAAGATTGTTTTAATAAATTTCCTGGATAAGCCGTTACACACCACCCACAGGCTGTTTTAACGTTTCTTCAGTATCGACATCGTTTAAATGGTAAAATAGCCTTATGCTAACGTCATTAAAGTTTTAATTTAATTTCATAAAATACGTTTTAAGAGTAAGGGAATCCATTCTATAATTTTTTTCTTTGTTGTAAATTCTTTATTTCAAATATTAAATTTAAATAATATATTTAGTAGTAGTTTATTTTCAGACAAAAGAGGCACAATGTGTTTGAGTTGCGTAAAACTGTCGGCCTTTCAAAATTTAAGATTCTTTCAGTAATAATTCTCCTATAGGTTGACCAATAACATTGCCATCTCCGTATATCAATTGACCACGAAGATATGTTTTTTTTACTACGCCCTTGAGTTTCATATTCAGATACGGTGTTAGCTGTAACAAGTAAAACATTAAAAATAATAAACTGAATAGTATGTTCGTTGCATTGAATCAAATTTGTCGCAACCTTACCTTATTTTTGTGCCGGATAATGTCAGTAGTAATGACAAATTCAGCCTCTGGATCGAAAAACACAAGGTCGGCATCTAGACCAGGCTTAATAGCACCCTTCTTGTGTTGTATACTACACAAATGGGCTGGTCCAGAACTTAAGTATTTACTGATCGATGTCAAATCCAAGCCACGAGCTTCAGCTGCTGTCCAAAACAATGATAGCCCTGAAATTATGATATATTGTATTATCTGTGCTGTGGTATTATTTTTTTCTTTTTCATTTACGATTTACATACAAAATCTACATATTAAAATACTTTTTAAAAATATAATTAATTATATTAATATATGTACTTTTTTGCCGATATTTCAATATACGCTGCCCGTAGTTAGACAACGCACGAAGCAGATTAAATAAACGCTTTAAAAGCTCCAGTCTCTGGTCTAGAGTCAGTCACACGACCGCAATTAATGGTCAATATTAGAACGAGAATAGGTAGTCCAAATGGTCAAGCGTTCTAGGATTCATTATTTATCAAATTTGTGAAGACACGTGCCCAACTGAAGACGGAAAAATAAGCCTGCATTATATTTGTGTTAAACATGAGCAGTCATTATCAATATCAATCAATTATTTTGACAGTTTAATGTGACACAGTCCAAAATTTAGTACATCTTCAGATCACTTCAGATCCAATCAGAACTCTTGGTTTTGTGAACTAACTATTCAGATTTTTTCTCGTGATATGCGGACTCACTGTAGGTACAAATGACGCCGCGGGCACCGTTAATTTAAAATAAATCTTTATCTTCGCTGCAACAGCGTAATTGAAATTTTCTTCACGAGGACAAAATGGCCGTTTAAATTGACATTTAAAATAACGAACAATAACATAACCATTTTCCATCAACAAGAACCCCCCTTGTGCTTTAAAAGCTTTACAATTACAATTACAATTATTCTCAAATTACAATCTTTCGAGACGGCAACAAAGCTCTTAGTCGGTACTAACCGAATTGCACAGAAGAAATTCCACCCCACGCTTCCATAAGATTTTTGTTGCACTTAAGGTCTGGAGTACACGGGGAGTGATCGGATACAATTAAGTCTATTTTATCTTCTAACAGGAAATCCCATAATTTTTCCTGAAAAAAAAATTGCTTTGATTATATCTGATCTAATTCCATCACGATTGTCTGTAAATATTTGAAATATGCGAATATAATGCTTGGAACCTAATTTGATTTGATATCAAAGTTGTTTTCAATTTAATCAGATACACCAAGATGCGCGTATTTATAATAAGTTTTATAATAAGAATTTATAGTAAGTATAGTATTTATTTCAACAAGTAATAACTCATTTTCACTATGCTTAGCGACTAAATGATTTCTTTCTTTCTTTTTTTCTATAAATAAGAAATCACGCACTGTAGCATGTTCTTCTTCACATAAAGCTGCGAAGAATCCTCAACAATAGGACCTGGCATTGTTGACATCCATCAGAGACAGTGACTACTTACCATCAGGTGAGCCGTATGCTCGTGTGCCGACAAAGATAGTAAAAAATCTAATAATTCGCGAATAAACAATTATTTCTCTGTCAATGACATGATGAACACTTTTTCACCTTTAGTACTAATGCAGACCACATCAATATTTGATTTAAATAAAACGTAGGTAATGTCTGAGAATGCATATCATATTTTTGACCTGTTTTTAAGAACGAGCTCCAAAATTGTGTACCTAAAACTTGTTCACGGACGACCTTACTGTTCAAGGATAATGATATCGTTTAATAAAAATCACATCTGCAAAATGTATTCTTTATTGGGATTGCGTTGTGTGTCTGCACGGTTGATTGAGTTGATTATATTATACATTCCGGTTTTAAGGGTAGGACAATCATCCTATTCATAATATAATAAATGAAACTACACTTTTACGGCTACGTCACTGCTTCAGGTCGGCTGAGAAAGAAAAGGTCCAGCCGGCTTTTGAATTAAAATTTAACACTTAATGTAAAAAACTTGATGCTTCGATCACACTTGTTACTGGTGGTAGGACCTCTTGTGAGTCCGCGCGGGTATGTACCACCGCCCTGCCTATTTCTGCCGTGAAGCAGTAATGCGTTTGGGTTTGAAGGGTGGGGCAGCCGTTGTAGCTATACTGAGATCTTAGTACTTATATTTCAAGGTGGGTGGCGCATTTACGTTCTAGATGTCCATGGGCTCCAGTAACCACTTAACACCACGTGGGCTGTGAGTTCGTCCAGCCATCTAAGCAATAAAAAAAAAACACAACTTATCACCTATGTATTAATCGACCAAGTTAAGAGTTCCTCGAATATATCGTCGAAAATTCATATAAAATCTACAAATAGATAAAATTTCTCCCTAACTAAGGTAAAAGCACCTATTACGGAGGTATTTCGCAAAATTTGAAAGTAAGAAAGAAAAATAAGCATTTGTATTTCTAAAGGTGGAAAAAATTTTCATCGTCAAAAATGGAATTTAAATTTCGTATTACTGTTGAGTCTATGTTTCTTTTCTAGAAATTACTTATTTTAAAAAATGTTTTAAATAGCCGGGTCGATTTTCCCTAATACGGAGGTATGATTGAGGTCAGAGCCTATTACTGCGGTAGACGGTTCCTAATACAGAGGGTCAGAAATTATATTTATTAAGTTCCGAACATTATTTTATAATATAGTATATATATTTATTAAGTAAATAATATAATGTGAAGAACTTAAATTGTAAGTTTTGCATTAATTGACCACATATAATGAAATTTATAATACAAATGTAATATAACCGTGCATTCACACAGATCGGCTCGGAAAGAAGAGTACATTTTTACCGCGTTTAAAAGTGATTTGGATTGTATTTTAACATGAGAATTATACACATAAATAAAATTGGAGTGTCTGTTTGTAATATTGAAATAACCGCTTTTTACCACATGCATATAAATATATATACGGTACATACACCAAAATAACATTTTTTACAATTTTTGTCTGTCTGTCTGTTTGTTCCGGCTAATCTCTGGAACGACTGGACCGATTTTGACGAGACGTTCACTAATAGATAGCTGATGATATAAGGAGTAACTAAGGTTTTTTAGACTTAAACTTAAGGTAAGTGAAGTTTTCGGCTCAATTCAGACATCGGTGGCAACGGCCGGCAGCGATGCGAAGGCCTACCCGATCTTGTAGACCGAATGGTAAACAGTCGACGTCGCCCTAAGCACGTCATTACGGATCTTCCCGATCCATTAACAGTGCTTTTAGGTACTTCAAGCACCGGTTACCGTCCTGAACCCGTCGCTTGCGATGAAGAACTCGAAGAAGAAATCAACCTATAGACGCAGCCCACTGAGTTTCTCACCGGATCTTTTCAGTTGGTCGCGTTTCCGATCCAGTGGTAGATTCTTCGAAGCACTGCTCTTGCTAGGGTCAGTGTTAGCAACTCTCCGGTTTGAGTCACACGTCAAGGGGAAGCTGAAATAGCCTGCCAAGGCTATCAGCATTGGTAGGAGAAAAAAAAGGTGCGAAGGGCACTTTCAGCTTTGAAAGAATTTTAAGCTTTATCTACATTGTTTTATAGAGCAGTATCGCTTGAAAGGATAAAACTGTTCGGTGGCTGATGCGGTGGCCGCTGCCACTGCTGTCTGAATAGAGCTATACATATTTAAGATGAACAAAATAGAATTACTTAATGGTAAATTTATTGAGGACTGCTTAGGAACAAACAAACAAAGCATTTGCTTGACCATCTGTGAATGTAAACAAAAGATAAGAAAGTTTAATAGTTTTATGAATGAGTCTTTGTGCCTTTGCTGACTCAATAGAAATATCCGTACGGGATTTCTGGGAATCTGTCATAAATGGTTCATAAAAACAAATCGCTATACCTACCCGAAATTGACGCTATAGTATCCAAAGTCGCTCTTACCGAATGAATTTCTTAGGAAAGTATGCTTTAAATTCAAGGGACATAAGTTTGACGTCGCTGTAACCGAGGTCGTTATTAATGAAATCCACTGTATTTAATATATTTTAATAACCTTTCACTTGTACACTATTCCCCTCTTATACGTCGTATTTCTCTCTGAAAAGGGTTTGCTGGAAGAAAACTCATGAAGAGTTAAGCTCGCCTTTGTACATAGTATTTAGACATTCTTTAAATCTGTTTTTATTGTATTATCTTTTTGTGTAAAATAAGTATAAACAAATAACCTTTCTATTATTTCTATGGCATCCTAAAACTTGTAATTTTATGTTCTATGAATATGACCGTAATAGAAGATCATAGAACCTAACACAGAGTTACCTGGAAATAACTGCCACCGTAATAGGAAAACTACTCGTATTTTTTAATCCTAATTCTGACCCATCAAAATTTCGATAAACAAAGAATGTAAATACTTAATCAAACGATAACAGTTTTTTGGCACAGATGTGTAAAACTCAAGTCAACAGTTATACAAAACAAATGATTTGTGATTAATTAAAATACACCTTCCTATTTTGACCCCTTCTAAGAAACCAACATTTTGCACTCGACAGTTTTCATATTTAACTAGATTTTTAATGAACAATACATACCGCAGAATATGGTTTCTAATTTACAAGATTAATAATTATTCCAACTGAACTTGGAACTAATTCAATAAGTTAATAAATTGAAAGTTATAAACAATTAAATATGCCCAGTATATTCCCTATTTCGGAGTTATACCACCGTATTAGGATTAATCTATAAAATTCGTACCGTATTACGGCGGTATTTTGTTTCTTATTTTTTGAGTAAAAAATGAGTTACATATATGAAACAAGTTATTTAAAAAGTAAGTATAATAGTAGGAAAATGCTATAAATAACACATTAACAAAGTTGAACGACTTATTAATACAAAAAACTTAGTTTCTAAATATTAGTGTACTTATTTTTTTGTTCCGCGTTTGTATGGAAACTCCTCTCACGTTGATGCCGTGATACAAACTGATATATCTTGTAGTGTTGTTTATATGCTACACTTGACAACATCAGTTAAGTTATGAAGTAATAGATTTAGAATAAATAGATTCCGTTTTGGTGAGTTTAAACTGAATAAAACAAGAATAAATCTCGAAAATAGAAATACCACCGTAATAGGAAGCGATTTTGACTACCGCCGTATTAGGAGCTTTTACCTTATTCGATGGTAGCCTAAGGGCTATTCCAGCTTCTCGCTTCTGGTGGACTGGTAGTTCAGCTCACGAGTTAAACCTGAGAGAATTTACTAACACTAGCCCTAGCGAAAGCAGCACTTCGCAGACTCTCTCACCGGATTGGAATCGCGACCCACTGAGAAGATCCGGCAAGAAACTCAATGGGCTCATATATCTAATAAGTACGGACAATCGAAAAATATTACATTAATTTGAAAGCGAGTATGAATCTGTGGGCTATTTCTTATTTAGACACCTTGAATAGCCCAGTAGTTTTGTTATTTACCTGGTTATTTTTATCTCTAATGGGTGGAGCGCATTTAAATTCGCTATGCCCTTTTGGTATTTGCTCAGAGCTAAATGTTAAATAGTGATGGCAAGTTTCAGCTGTAATTCCGTTCCGCCAAAATCCATTTTTCTCACTTCTTGCTCGACGCAAGGCATGAAGTAAAGGGATTACTTCTGCAGATGATACGTGTACTATATGAACGCGTACACTGCAAAACAAACACGGAAATTAAATCGGAATTTGTACAATATTACCATATTATGTGGCTCCCTGCTCAAATATAAGATCCTCGTTTTCTAAATATCGCTAATTTAATACTTTCGTAAAGATATACATTTCGCTAATCTGGTCTTCTCGCTTCTGACCTTGCCTGTACAATATATCAGATACCTATTTGTTATTTGGTATTTCGATACATGTCTTAAAGTTAAGCAATATAAATTATAACTATAGAAATAGCATTTTCGTAAGGTGTTTTAATTATTATGAGTATGGCTTACTTGTGTTTCTTAACAAATTTTTTTATTAAATTGAAAGCTTCGAGTTCCATGCTTGCAGGTCTCGATTCCAGGAATGTGTGATATTCTTCAAGATCTAAAATTATTCAATATAACATTTTATAATTCGATATTTAGCTACTTATGAAAAACAATTGAGACTTCGACCTCATGTCTCAAAGTGGGTGCCGGTATTCATTCGTGATGATTATTGGCTCTCTCCTCCTCGCGTCGTTTCCTCATTGCTGAGGGTCGACACCATCATGTTTGGACAGATTTTTTTCATTTGTGCTGTCTTTGTAAATTAACAATTTAATATCGGCTTGGCCGTTAGTTCATCTGCCCGACTACAACCAAAAGGAATAATTCATATGTAGCTTAACAACAAAAGACATGGTTAAATAAAAAATAAAAAACACGTGTGGCACTCGGGGACTGCCGCGGTAAAGCTATTGCAAAGCATTTTTTTTCAACTTATGCAATTATAATTATACAATAATAACTTAATATGAAAACAATAATAAAATAAGACCACGCTATATTTATAAACATTAACAAAAGCAAAACATTAACTGTCACACTGTGGTCACACTCATAAGCTAGACCGCGCGAGAGAGAGATGAGCAGACTTTTCATGATGCGCATGCAGTGTAACGTCAAGCTGCGCGCTTTTTCACAAACACTACACAAGCGCAAGGTGTGAATGTGTTGAACGCGAGCTACATGGTAGACGGAGTGGGGGGTGTTAGATTTTATTTTCGTTACGGAATTTCTTGATTCGGTCGCCGCGCTCAAAGCCCGCGATAAAAGCTATGCAATAGCTTAAAAACAGCACTAACAAATAATTTCAAATTTTTAAATCATGTTGATACTGGTCAGGAAATTAAGTTATAATAAATTGTATTGTCATCGGTCCTTGATGCATGTGTAAATTTAAAATAGGAATGTTGAATTCGGTGAGAAATACATTCAAAGATTCCGTTACATGCAACATACACGCGAACCAAGCTAATAAAAGTGTGTTTTATAATAATATTTTGGTATTTTGGTAGTAGATAATAACCGAATGACCGATGCCAAGTTTTGGTTCAAGTTGAATGTTTATCCAAACAAACCAATCTACAAATATAAATAAATAAATAAATATTATTAAAATATTATTATTGATATAAAATAGTTGCATTTTTTTTATTTAAACAAAAACTACGTGCTCACCTTTCTTTCTCATTTTTTCTTTACGGCCTTGATCGTAAGCGCAGTCGATTTCAGCATGGAACTATAAATACGAAACCAGTATAAAATAACCTAACCTTCATAGACTACCATGGCTCTTTAAAAACAGCAGTACAGGATGATAGAGACGGTTGTCAAGCCGTTTTGGTCTGTCACGCCGACTAAACGTCTCATTATCGTCATCATCATCATCGTAACTATACTTGAGACCTTAGAACTTATATCTCAAGGTGGGTGGCCCATTTACGTCATAGATGTCTATGGGCTCCAGTAACCACTTACCAGCAGGTGGACTGTGAGCTCGTCCACCCATCTAAGCAATAAACAAAAATGAATTAATTAATTCTTATTTATTATTATTAGAGTAAAATAGAACTTTTGATTTAGTTTTTAAGCTAATTTATAGACATTAGAAAATGCCCTCAATGACGGTCTAATATCTAGTAAAGTTATTGTTTGATATTCGAACGGATAAAATATATAAAGTAAAAATAAACGTAAAAAGTAAAAACAAAACAAAAGAATATTCAATGATTCGATATTTTTAGCCATACCAAATTTTTATGGCAAAAATCTTGAGTGTATTTATTTTATAGTGTTATAACAGCATTTTTTTTTAATTCTCTGTTGGAGCCATACACCTATTAGGTTAAGTCGGCTATAATAACAGCATTAAAGATTTGATAACCGAATAAGTATAGTTTAAGACGTATATGTTGTTACCGCAAGCACCGATCCAGTTCCTTCAAGACAAGCGAAGGCTTTTTGTAAATCCTGTAACTCAACGTGAGGAAATTCGTCCACTCCACTGGGACACAGAAAACATTTAAATCCCACAACGCCGGCTTCGACCAGATCCTGCAGTGAATCCTTTACAAAAAAACAAAAAGCAAACAAACAACATTAATTCACGAAAAGTACCTAAACGTGATAATTAAAACTTTTGCCAACCGAATTTTGGATTACTCGATCAACTGTTCATTTAAAATGCGTTAAAGAGCTTATCGATTTAATTACGGTTTGTCAAATCCCAGAACAACATGTTCTTATTATTATGAAATACCTTTTATTACACGTATACTCATTAAACGAATCGGTGCAAGATTGCCGCTTTATATATAGCATTATAAATAATAATCGATTTTAAAAAACAAACAGATTAATTAGTAACTTTGCAGATAGTATTTGTGCACCGAATTCGACGTGGCCTTAAGGATAAGACGCCTGGTGCATTCGTATCAAGCGTTGCGACTATGCCGGTGTTCGAATCCCGTAGGCATGTACCAATTTTTCTAACGAAATACGTGCTTCACAATTAATTGTTCACATTTGGCTTCCAGGATGAAGGAATAGCAACGTGTAATAAAAATCAAACCCATAAAAATATAATTTACGTAATTACTGGCGGTAGGATGTTTTATGAGTCCACACGGGTAGGCATTCTGCCTATTCCTGCCGCGGAGCAGTAATGCGTTTCGATTTGAAGGGTGGGGTAGCCGTTTTACGGTAACAAAACTGAGACCTTGGAGCTCATATCTCGAGGTGGGTGACAACACTAACGTCGTAGATGGCTCTGGTAATCACTTAACACCAGATGAACTGTCCTCCCATCTAAGCTATTGAAAAAAAAAACATTTTGTTCTAATCTTATTTTAATGCCAATTTATCAATCTATGCCTTCCATTTCACCGCACAAGGAACTTACATGATTTTGCGGTATCACCCCTCCCCAGAATCCTACATCAACAAATACATTTCCTTTAGCGGCTGTTGCTTTAATTTTCAAGTTTTCCAACGAGGTAGTTGGCGGTATCGAATTCCTAAAGACAAAAAACACATATGATTAAATATGTTACCTCAAAATATGGAATTTACTAATTCAAACATTTGATTTTGTGAAACATGTTAGTTGACAACCAGGGTTGTTATCGACAGCAATAGTACATTGTACACCAAGGGAGAAAAGTTGGTTTCCTCCCGCGTGTTTGCCACGCAATTTTATGCGCGTGCGCATGCGCACTTGTCAGTACCCAGGGAGGAGAAGTTAGACTTTCTCCCCTGTATAGCGGGAGGAAAACCGAACTTTCGGCGTAGGTACGACAAAAAAAAACAAAAATGTTTCTGTACGTGTAATGAAGATAATTCAAGAATGTTAACGGCTAATAACGGCAACCTGAATTTGTGCTATAAAGCCATTTACGAGCGTAGAAGTTTATAAAACATAAAATATGGAAGTTATATTTACAAGGGCATATCGATTATCGTGGTAATCCCACCAGCAGCTGCAGCCTTGGTTGCCGTTTGGAATCCCTCCCAAGCGGTTCGACCCGGCTCGTTAATATGGACGTGCGAATCAACGATGCCCGCTATCAGCGCTAAATCACCACCGTCCACTACCTGTAATAATTGATATGTTAACAAGTTTATGACTGAATGATAAAATTTATTTTAATGTGATTTTTTCTATTGCCCATCTGATTGAGAGCTCATGATGCTCCTTATGATGCTTATGAGCATCAGCAATGCCAGGCGCATAGGTGACCACTGCTCGCCGCTTAGGACTTTTTTCGTTCGAAGAAAGACATGTCACAGGCCTTAGGACTGGGGAGTATATTTCAGAGCCGGATTATACGTGGTAAAATTAATGTCTCGGAAACTGTGAATGAACTCCGCTTCGTTAGCGAGTGTTGTATGGAACATTAACAACTAAACACAAACATAGTGTAGTGTCTCTATTTATAATACGGTTTTACGAAGTGTTAATGTATGAAATAACAATTATGTATGTATGTGCTCACTGTACATCTGGTGTGAAGTAAAATGAGGCGTGATGTTATCGACGCCGTGTGATAAGCAATTAGAACACAGACAAAAGTTGTTTTTCAAATAATAATAAATTACTTTGTGGTTCAATAGCCGTAAAACTTGAAGGTGTACCTAAATTACACTGGTAATCATTTACAAATTGTATCCTAATAACCATTAAAAGGTCTTTTGTTCTGTTTTAATATATCCAAAAACAACATATCGTCATTAAACCTAACCTACACATAATAAAGAAATTAAAGCTCTCAGAATCCCATACCAAAAACCCGAATAAAACTATAACGTACTAACTACTAGACTTTTATAGGAACAAGGTATATAAGAACGAACTTTGGTCCTCTTTATACCTTCTACTAGACTTGTCCTTGTACTAGTACTACCTTGTCTAGTGGGTTGTGGCTTTAAGAAATGGTTTATGATGATTTTGCCAGCGGTGTTTTATTATCGCATTAGCCACCAGTGTTAATATTATTGTGTGAAACTGATGTACTGATCTAGAATGAACTTTCAGTGAATGTTTTTACTAAGCACCGCCCACAGGTAATCCGATTGAGTTGAAACTTTCCTGTAGCTCTCCAGGAAACTTGTTTGAAAACATTGATGTTTCCATGAATGCTTTTCATCAACAGCTTACGCGCGGATGTCGCCATAACAAAAAACGAAGCGAAAGATTTTTAATATTCGACAATTTAAGCATATATACTTAAGTTAAGTCATCGACCCATTTAAAATCATGTTTAATGACATTCAAGTTGAGATAAATGAATTTGAACGTGTAGCGTCGATTTATTGTAATAATTTAAACACACATAGACCAGCAACGTGGACCTGTTTTTATTATGGACCACATCATTAATAAAATTACTAGTTTCCGTGGGTCAAAAACCTATTTCGCAAAATAAACTCTTGTCTGCAATCTTTACGAATTCAAGCAATTATTCTGATTTTAATTATGTTATTAATTATCTGCAAATTTATAATCCATGAGTTTCCTTGTGCATACATTAGAATAATATCAAAGAATGTTGTGTTTTATACGTATTTCGTATAAATGACGCATTGAGTATTTCTTGGCTAAATCTGTTTAGGATTTATTTAATATTACCACAATTTGCAGGCCTCGTCTATGATATTAACCTTGGTTTTATAGACAAATAACTAACGTTAAATTAGTTCAATATTTGTTGCAATGGCGTATACGTTCGATGCTTAAAACACGTGTATAAATACGAGCAGACAGACAATCATATCGAAGAGGAATGCATTGCAAATGTTTGCATACCTAACAAGATGAACGCATTTATTTATTGAATCTGGTTTCTTTTATTAAACAGAATTTGTGGTCAGCCTCGGTGCATTCAGACATTTTGATACGAATTATTAATGGGACCATAAATACCATGATCACAAAGCTAGTTTCATTCTTTATTTAGAAATGGTAGTTTTGCTTCTCTTGACCCCGATATTTCTCAGTCTCTGATTAAGTTCGGTTCTTCTTAGTCTCTAGTTAAGGGTTATTACGTTGCACGAAATCAACTTCATTTAGTATGTTATAAATTGTCTACTTGTTTATCTAGCTGATAAATAATTAATACCGGATCTTTTATAAATTATTATTTTCTAGTATACACTAAAATAAATGAGGTAGATTTTATCGCTTAAAGCAATCTCTTTTTAAAAACAAATCTACCATCAAGTCGGCCATCCCCAGCTAAAGAAAAAACGATTACATACCTTAATATTTTCACCACTTTCGTCCAAAAGTCGACTAACTTCTTTTCTTTCAAGAACTCTTTCGATAACACCATAGCTATTGACTAAAATACCGCCATCGAAAACCTTGTCTTCGACAACTAGACGCTTACTCAAAAACAGTTGTCGGCTTAACACCATTTTTCCTGTGTTCACACAATGTGACTATTACTTACAACGTACGGACGGCGTACGTAGAGATTAACTTAAATGTATTCAATGTACACACACATCATAATATATTTCGTAAGCAAATGTGAATACTACAGCGATAAGACATGGTAGGTTATCGAAAAATAAAACAATGACTTTTTTCAAATATCGACACTTTTATAGCAGTAATACAATGTTTTAGACAAATTATATAAATGGCTTACTCTTATCGCCAGCATTAAATAAATCTCTTTTTAATAAATTAGTCAAGCCATTATTATAACCCACTTAATAAGAAAAAAATGTTTTTTTTCTTTGTGTCAAGGGTTTAGGTACTGGTAACTATAGGCATGACAACGCGAATGCTGTAACCCACCTTGAGACATACGGTCTAAGCAGTTATGTCGCGAAGCAGTAATACGTTCTAATTTGAAAGGTAGGGCAGACGTTATACTATAGAACTCATGTCTCAAGGTGGACTGCGTTATTGATGTTGTTGATGAGCTCCGGTAACCGCTTAACATCAGGTGGGCACTAAGATCGTTCAACTAAATAAGGAATTTTAAAATAAATCGTCATATGAACAGGTTTGTTTGCCCTATCTGGGTTTTAAATATTTACATATGTATGTACATATACACATATATAAGTAAATACTCGTATATCAGTGTCTGACCGTAGTACAGGGAATTTTAATTCGGGGCCAGATTTATTTGTTTATTTTATGAGTGTATTTTTTTATTCCATCCACGAATGAACATGCTCCCGGCTTACCTCGTGTTAAGTAATAACGGATCCAATATACAATACAATGCAGCCACCCATTTCATCTTGATATTTGAGGTGAAAGTCTTCAATTATATTCTACTAGCTGACCCGGCAAACTTCGTAGTGCCTCAATCGATAAATAAAAGACCTAAACTTTTGTATAAAATAAACATCAAAGGAAAAACAAAATTGTTATTTTTATTTAATTCCGAGCATTTTCATATTTACTTACCTTTTAAACCTTCCCTGGACTTCCACGAATAATTAAAGACCAAAATTAGACAAATCGGTCCAGCCGTTCTCGAATTTTAGCGAAACTATCGAACAGCAATTCATTTATATATATATAGATTATATTCTATAATGACTCTCCCACCCTTCAAGTCGGAGCGTATGACTGTTCGCGATAGAAATAGACAGGATGGCGGTACTTATCTACGCTGACTTACCACTATTAATTAAATAAATTTATAAATTTTACGGGATTAACTTTTATTTTACTAGACCGGGAAAACGCAAGAATGAGGAAGATTTTTTATTATACGATTTGAGTCGATTCGACCAAACAAGAGTAAATCTTATTCTTAGAATAACTCGTCAGTTAATCGAGAGTAAATCAATTTTACGTTTTACCATCTACAATTCTAAAAATAGTGGGCCTATTCGGGAATTGTTACTATACCGCCGCCGCGCCGCCGTTTCGCACGGAATAACGGAGCTATTCCTACAATAAAGTAATGGCGTCAGTCAGTCCAACATCTGATTTCTGTCATTTCATAAATATTTATTCTGTTTTAATTTCAAGTCAACCCAATGCACTAAATTATTATTAATAGTCTGACATTGTATAATGCAACGTTTAAACGAAAAAAGATAAAACCACACGACAAAACTTGACAATTCCCTCAAACAAACAACAAATAAAAATAATACGTTTGACAGCTGGATATCTTACACAACAGCTACTTTTTCACACTAAAATACGGCAAAATCGAGTTGACGATTTGTATGCTCTTACACTATGCCGTTGACAACAACATTTATTTGCCGGATTTTATTTTTGTTCACCATTCCTCTGCTATTCGCGTATTGTTATTCCTAGCGCAAGTATACGTGGAAAAACGACTATGGATTTACTCGAAATTAAAATCATGGAATAGGTTATTCCTCGTATAGTTACTCGAGTATAAATTTAAGTTTGGTCGAATCCACCCTTACTGATTTATCATCGAAGTCGTTTGCGACCACGTTTTATTTATGTACATATGTATTTCCTTCGAAAAGTTCGTATCTTCCTGATGGATTTGAAAAACGCTCTAGGCGCAACACTTGACCCAATACACCGGGCGTCCTGTCGCTATCTTTTATTAATTTTACTAAAGTTTAACTTGTATCAGCAATGTTTTTAATATTAAGGCTTAAGCAGGCACTTACTTTCAACAACTTTACTCCACATGGATTCCGCTAAATTATTATTTTAAAACGAAACTATCACCTAAGATTGGTAAGTAGAATTCATTAAGGTAGCCGGTGATTGACATCGGATGGCAAAAGCTGAAGATTGTTGACACAGTATCTTAAATGCCAACGCTCCGCCTTGAACTTCACCTTGAAGAGCACGCGGGAGCTAACAGCGCGGTTCGCCGCCGTCCGCAACCCTCAGTCGAAAATAAGTTCTACTTTACCTCCATTGAGAGCGGCCTGCGAGGCAATACCGGTTTTGATCTCCTTAAAAAGGACACAATGATCCAGATTCAATACAAAGCACTACACATACTCTTAATATCATACAAACTAATAAATATCTTGAACATATAAGTAGAAGTTCAAGGTGTGTGGCGCATTTACGTTGTAGATGTCTATGGGTTCCAGCAACCACTTAACACCAGGTGGGCTGTGAGCTCGTCCACACATCCAGGCAATAAAAAAAAAAGTAGCCTAACACGAAAATGTGAAAAACGATAACGTTGACAGCCTTCAGACAGGTAGATCACGTTTAGGTTGACATTGTATGCCTAAAACAAGGACAGTGACGATTTCAGGGTCTACTTAATCAATGTACAGTTAGGTATAATGGTGACGCGACGGTGATGTGCCGGCAAACAATGCGAGTGACATTGGCGGGAAGAAAGGAAGAAACGTTGTTTGCATACCAATGACGGCAGACAGCGCCCAAAGCCGGCGAACCAAATAATTGCTAAGAAGTTGAAAACTTCATAATAGCCTTTATTAGTTACTGTTTTAACTGAGCTCCTGGAAAATAAATTAACCGAGCCATTTAATGACTAATTGAATTATGAGAATTTAAATTAAAGTTTTGAATATTACGTATTTGATCTTTGGCACAACCTATTTTCTAGGTTTTTGGGATTTTTTTACTTACACAGCATTAAATCAAAAAAATTATTAAGTATAGTAGATATAATTATTTTCATTGCTCGACCGTTACCTGTGAGCTATAAAAATGTCACACGAATAATTAAATAAACTATCCAAGCAAAGTGAGTGTCTTTCAACAGTTGGCAACCACTGGACGTCGTAGACTGTGTAACTTAGAGCACAGCTAGCAGCCGCTAGTTAGTGTACATTGTTAAAGCACTGTGAAAAAAGTGTTAACGAGAAAAGTGACTAATGATGCTGCTATGAAATTGATTCCGTTTTGTTGATCAAAAACATAAGGTGAGTCCTGGTCTTTTTTTATGAAGTTTTTTTTTTTTTTTTTTATTAATTGCTGCTTCTTTTTAATCATCTATTTCGTTATATTATCTTGACAAAATATGCGATGTTCAAAGAAAATGGCACACTTGGAACGTAGTATGTATCATTTATTTTTATAATCGATAAACTAATCTCATTCATCCAAGTTTATATTTTAGACGTTTTTAGTTTTTTTTTAAATAATTTATTTCTATAAAGAATGATTTATAAGAACATTGACAGAAAAGCTTGGATAGGAACCGGTAGTTTTCTCTAAAAAAACATTGTGGCTATGATATGTGACCATGATTCCGTTTAAAAAGTACACAATTTAAAAATCGTTCTAAATTACGATGTCTATTTTTATAAGCTTAACTTGACCATTTAAAACAATGGAAGTTATACCTATATTATTATATAATATAGAAAACACACATAAATATATTTACCATATAACGTTGTTTACCTCATGTTTATTGTTATGGTGGATAATTGTTTTTCTTTTTCTCCATATTACATGCTTCTTAATTTAACAATGATCTCAATAACATCATGCGCAGACTTAGCATAAAATGACTGATCAGAATTAATTTGTTTGAAAACAATTTAGTTTTATAGAATAGGCACCGATGCCTAATAAAAAAAAAGTTCTAGGGCACACTTTAAATTGAAATTGGCATGTTCTTGTTAGAAAGTCTTTGTTATTCATTTAATTTTCATACATGTACTTTGGACGCTTACCGCGATTCCTTTCACGTTACTTGTAATTTTACGCACAATGGTTTTTTAAAGCAGTTTTTAAAGCATTTCAAAGCCATATCCCACAAAGGGTGTGATATGGCATACATTACTGTATGATTTTTCCACTTGATATAGAGTAAATATGATCTCATTCATTTACCATCGCCTTTCGTCGTCGTAATTGTACACAATGTATAAGTCTATTCATAATCATTTAAAAACGAACATAAAATTTAAAAAAAGAAATTGGTTATTTGCAGTATACTTAAACGCGATTTCATAATATATTTCTTGTAATTGCCTACAATGCAAAGGAACCTGTTTACAGTACCTGTACTAAACACATGTGTATGAGATGTAAAAAGTTATTTTTATATTTACAAATCATACGAAAATATATATTTTTAACGATCGATCCAAAATTAAAAGCAATGATGGGTACAAGAATATGTACGAGATTCGATGAGATCCGATGACATCTGAGTATTTAACGCTTGGTGTTTGGCGCGGCGGCCGCTCAGTACAACACACGCCGCACCGGCGTAGCCTCATCTCCCGAAAAGACCATCCACAATAATAAACTAAAATCACTTACCATAAACTTTTTTAAGGTAACGAGCACAGAGAACATACTGCAGATGAGCTTTTTTTAAAAAAAAAAAACTTAATTCGGAAGTGCTAAATGCCTATTATTTTTACAGAATAAAAGGAGTTGGCAGTATTGACTTATCCCCGTAATGGGGCATACTACAGCAAAATGGGTAAGTTCCTTTTTTATCAATAAATCTAATAAATCAAGCGATTGTATTTGATTGTCAATCTGAGCTCATAAAAACCATTTATACCTGTACTTTAAGCTATAAAATACTTAAGAAATTTGGGGATCCGTAAATGTCTAGTTGGCGACTGCAGTTTTTTTTGTATAAATGGGCTCTGCTAAACTTGTCACATCCAATTAACTGAGTAATTAAAAATAATTGTAAAAGCTACTCCGTGATCTGAGTATTAAATTACAAAAACAAATGTTTTCACTAACCACAGCTTACTCATTAACTTTCAATGAATCAATTCAGTCATCAAATTTTAAGAAACATAACAAATCTAAAATTTGTTGTTATCAATCTAATCACATCTTGAAATTATTCATCGTTGTTTGCTTCAAAACAATAAACTAACGTAATAAAACATTAACGTAACGTAACGTACATTAACGTAATAAAATCAATTTTATCTTTTACTAGCTTTTACCCGCAGCTTCACTCGCGTCAATGGATTATAGTAAAATCTATACCTCAGGATTAGTAGACCCTCGTTTGTAGCCGTTTTAAAGCGTGACAAACTTCGATCAATAATATAGATCGAAGGTGACAAACCAATACACTGTCTTGTTTAAAATATTAGTATGGTTTATTGAGCTCACGTCCACTGCGAGGATAGCAAGAAGGAAATACCACTAACATACGCCCTTCGCTCCGCTAGGAAATGGACGGGATGGTAGTATTCTTATTTACTGGATCATAATACGCACTACCAACAGGAAATCCAAAGTAAATCAAAGTTAAATATTCAGAAAGATCATAAATTTAAATTCAATTATGCATTCATAGTATGCAGTCTACTTTATCAGCATACAGTATACACTACAAGAATATTCGTTTGAAATGTCATTGAACTCTCCTAAGCTTAGCGGTAGAGAAGCGTATTCATTCTCGCAAGAAGAAAAATTAACTTCCTACCCAAAAAAATTTAGCGAACTTAAAACAAGCCGCAGTGATTTCCATACACTCACTGGGCACCGTTAGTAGGCCCAAAATTTCTTTTCACTGCATTAGTTAACTACTCATCGTTTATTGCTTGGCTCATTGTATATGCGCAACATATAAACCCAGTTTTTATTATGAACTCGCACGCGAATCATGCACATACAACTTCGATCAACAACAGTATATACAACGATATAGGGCAGTGGAACTTGCTTGATCGGGAAGCATCTAGAAACACTTACAGAGACATTAACTTTTAAAGACTAGGATCGCGTATGTCTATATAGGTATTAAGTCCACTGGATAAGAATTTATATGAAGATATTGTGAGATTGACTTATTAATTGCAAACAGTGTAAAGTGGTGGCTTTTTTTTTGTAATGATTGCTCTTTCTAATCCTATTTATTTAGCTGAGCTAATGTACGTAAATAAAGTTCTAAGTGCTACTGAACAAATATTAAGTGGGAAAATATGAGAACACAGTCATTAACCGGTAAAACGTTGTTGACAAAGCTTTACTAACTGTTGTTTTGTCTTCATGTGTTAAACAGTAGTGACTAATATTACCCAAAATCGAATTATAAATACCTAATTTAGTTGTTTGCAAAGTTAATGTATGCTTTAAAAAAAAATTTTGTAGTCAATTTTTTTTAATTACTTTGATGGGTGGACGATGTCTTTTTTTTATTTATTTTTTATTGCTTATATGTGTGGACGAGCTCACAGCCCACCTGGTGTTAAGTGGTTACTGGAGCCCATAGACATCTACAACGTAAATGCGCCACACACCTTGAGATATAGTTCTAAGGTCTCAGTATTAGTCACAATGGCTGTGCCCACCCTTCAAACCGAAACGCATTACTGCTTCACGGCAGAAATAGGCGAGGCGGTGGTACCTACCCGTGCGGACTCACAAGAGATCCTACCACCAGTAATTACGCAAATTATAATTTTGCGGATTTGATTTTTATTGCACGGCCCACTTGGCCATAAGTATTTACCGGAGCCCATAGACATATATAACATAGATACTGCCACCCACCTCGATACAGGAGTTCTAAGGTCTTAGTTTTTTAGTACAACAGTTGCCCCACCCTTCAAACCGAAACACATTACTGCTCCACGGCAGAAATGGGCAGGGAGGTGGTACCTACCCGTGCGAACTTACAAGACGTTCTACCACCAGTAAATTCTGTGATCGAATGCTACCATGTCTAGGAATATCTGAAGCGTCTTAAAGGTGTCAGAGTGAGCATTCAAGAAGAAATTCAATTCTTTTAAGCCCGTCTCAAGCTTAATGGTGGTTTGCAAATTGTAACGTTTATAAACCTCGGTAACCACATAACATCAAGAAGGCCATGAACCAATCTACCCATTTACACCCTTAAAATTAATTCGTTATGGTTAATTTAAAATTTATATTCTTGTGAAAAATTGTCCCATCAGGTACGCTACATTAAATCAACTCAATGATACTGCTCGTACCTTGATAGTATTCAGTCCACGTGTAGACTCACTCGTCCCTCCTTCAACCGTCGCGTTCCGTCAATGCCATGTTAACCCTCTGGTTTCCTAGTTGTTATAATCATGCGTTTATATTACCTTAAACGCTTGCAGTATTGGCGATTAGCTCTATCTTATTTTATTCAACGTTCATAAGTCTTCTTGTTGATTTGCCATATGCTTAATAATCGTTTATTTATCACGTTACCTGGTTTTGTCCAAAAAAGTATCGTGTTCAATTTTTATGACCAAAAAAAATTGTCCTAATAATTGCTAAAATGTCATGCAAAACACCTTGGACTGGTTGGGATGATGACGATGACCCCGCGGGCAGTCGCTCAACTACCTGCCTCTGATACCTCTATGCAAATTTTGTTGTTTTCCGACTGGCTAAGTCAACGCGCTGGAAATCGATTCAAAACTTTATTAAATCAATAAAAATGTACGGCACGGACAAATTTTATTATAGACCTATTAATGCAATCTACTGCACATATTCATGAAATCATGCATACATCTCACCTTTTTTTTTAATAAGCAAATGCAGAATTCAAAATCTATTTTAATGTAATAGGATTGTCATTGACTCCTCGTTGAAATGTTTATTATAATAGAAATATAAAATAAAAATATTTCTAAGCCAGTCAAGTCAAGTGTTGATCTTGATTCTTGAGTTTGTCAAGTTATGTAAATTACGTAAAGAACGAGTGAAATACTTGATTATAATTCGACAGGTCAACGACCGCCACCTCCCACACAACATTTTCAGCTGAGGCATCTTCGATTGAAACTACATTATAGTCAATAATAGTATCTTTGACCTTAACAAATTATGCAGACAATAGAATTCGATAGAATGTTTTTTTTTTATGTTACTGTTTAGCAAGCTCCTCGCATAACGGTGCTAGAGTTCACTACAGATGTCCCAAAGTAATTGTCATCTATTGGATTTACGTAGGTAGCTACATAGCTCACAGCATTCAAAGCTTTTTTATACGGGGCAATAACCTCAAGCTTTTGTTCGACAAAATCAAGAGAAACATGATGGGTGACAAGAATACGAACAAGGATCTACATTTAAAATACGCTGTCAGAACAAAATGTTTTTGTCAAACGAAATTTTAAGCAAACGAGAAAGTGTGTTGCTAAGAATACAATATACATTGCGTTTTTTTCTTTCAGTGTGCAACGACGCTCCTGCTATGCGTATCTGCATTTGCGTCTCCACGTACATCAAGCAATTCCTTCATCAGAAGCGCAGTAGAAACTATCCCACAGCATGACCCCATTCCTGTACCCATTCGTGCATCAGTCGAAAGTATTCCACTTAGGTAATAGACATTTATATCTAAAGCGATGAAACCTACGAAACATTATCCATTATTACCGGTCACCGTCCTTGTCGAACCCGTCGCTTGCGACGAAGGTCTCGACGAGCGAATCAACCCATATACACAGCCCACTGAGTTTCTCGCCGGATCTTCTCAGTGGGTCGCGTTTCCGATCTGGTGGTAGAATGAAATAGTTAATAGTGAAATAGCCTCTCAAGGCTTTCAGCTTAGGAAGGAAAAAAAATTCCATTATGAATACAAAACAAAACCATTATTATTATCTCGTCTTATAACTTTCAGGAGCATACGGGATGAAGGTGAAGGAAGACTACCTCTAAGAGATGCGGTCGAAAAGCGACCGATACCCGTATTAAATGCAGAATATAACTACAAATTATTGGGGGCAAGTATTTATTTAAAACAATGCAAAACAAAACATAAAACTAAATATGTTACATTTTATTATAAGTTTTCGAGTAGCATTACTTATATCTCTTGAACCATGCATTTAAAAGAAAAAGAAGCATTAAAAAGATAGGATTCTTCAAGTTTCAAAACAAAATATCCAATATTTTTGTAACAAATTAACGCACGTTCGCGTACTTCTGTTGTTTCCACGAAGCTAAGTCACCGACATCACGTTTGTTTACTCGTGTAGGCTATATGCACAAAGAAAATTGATCTTTCACCAGATTTTCTTTGGGTATTTAATTACTATGTTTTTGTACAGGACGTGGAACGTATTAATAATGCAAATGGTTTTAATACCGAAGGATACAAACAATATTATGGCGCAGCCAGTTTTCTTAACAAGTAAGTCAACAAACAAGTCCCGTCGCAATATTTATTAAAAAATTAATTGAAAATCAATCGATCGACACGTTTTCTTTACATTTTCAGCGCCACACATAGTGATGAGCGGCTTCATTTAGGCAATGCGAACTTACAAGGTAATGTTTGGAAGAATTAACAATGCAATAATAAAAACACGAATCAGTTAGGTTTAATGGAAAATATTTTATTTTAGAAATGCAGCAAACTTCTGGGGTTGGTGCTGTTCGTCGATTAGTTGTTTGCTACATCGAATCGTGGGCAGCTTACAGAGCTCCACCGTTGGCTTTCACGGCCAGCTTAGTGCCACGATCTTGTACGAACCTTCATTATGCTTTCGCTTCAATGCACCCACACACATATTCAGTCTTGCCCGCTAACGAAGACTTCGATGTTATAAAAGGTACATAGTACACAATAACATGATATTTTTTTTGCTTTTCAAACTTCAAAACGAATAATTACTGGTTACTTGATTATAGGAGGGTACCGCATTGCGACTGGACTGAAACGTCATATACCTGGATTGAAGGTTATTTTGAGCGTTGGTGGTGAAGGCTCGGATCGTTTGTTTAGTGAGATGGTACAGGAGCCTGTGAGGAGAAACATGTTTATCGAAAGTGCCTTATCATTTTTACAAGAGCATGATTTTGATGGGCTCGATTTACATTGGGTGTATCCAGGTATTTATAAAAAAAAACAATAACACTGGTCTTATATAATCTTACTCTATGCTGTAGACAAAAGTTAAAAACCCGATTGAGTAAAAGTAACTAAGTTAAAAGAAGAAGAGGGTAGCAAACTATTATAATTCTTTGTATTGCTCAAACCTTTTTGATCATCTTCGGGCATCTTATCCTTTAGACTTTACGGAACAGCCAAATGCCGATAAAAATATGTTTTTTTAGAAAAACTTGAAAAAATACATATAAAACAACGTACTATGTATATTTAAAAAATGTAATAAAGAGGAGTTGTTTTTATTGTGCATATCTTGCTATATCTCTCCGGTCGCGTACGATCATACTTTGATCAGGATAACATCATGAATCATTATGTTATTAAAACTCTTCGTTTATTTCACAATTACACCCATCCCCAAATTTGGAAGGATCTCAACTATATCATTTCGGATGGAACAATAATGAAATTAATTGGACAACATTAAGCAGCAAAAACAACAACGCAATTATAATAAATCAAACGACACCTCATTATAATTTTATGCTAAAACCTGCCGCGCATGTTATGCCACATTTACAAAGAAAGAGATAATTATACATACATACCTACGTAATGAAATATCTTTTTATGCGTATACATTACGTTATATGTTGTATATTCAACAACATTAATGTTGTGTGTAACATTACAATAAGAACATAACTCTTCCTTTGGAACGATCGNAATCAAACGACACCTCATTATAATTTTATGCTAAAACCTGCCGCGCATGTTATGCCACATTTACAAAGAAAGAGATAATTATACATACATACCTACGTAATGAAATATCTTTTTATGCGTATACATTACGTTATATGTTGTATATTCAACAACATTAATGTTGTGTGTAACATTACAATAAGAACATAACTCTTCCTTTGGAACGATCGGGTAAACCAAATTAATTATACTTACTAAAAACGGTTAAAATGTCATTGTTTGATTCTAGGTGAAAAGGATGAAAAAGAAAAAGATCTGGTAACAACTTTATTATACGAGATCAGAGAGAAGTTCTCTTCGTATGGCTATTTGCTATCGACAGTTTTGCCGCCGTTTAGGTGAATATTTTGGTCGTTTTATGTCATTTTCATGGTATTTATTGATATAATACACGTGTTGGACAACAAAGGCTTTCTACTGATTAGTTTTTGTAAATAAAATAAGAACTTGTGGAACAATGTAACAAATTATTATTTTTAGATATCAAATAGAAGACGGCTATGATCTGAGTGCTGTGAGTGGGGCAACGGATTATACTATACTACAAGCGTGGGATATGACGCACGGGAGACGGGAGGAACCTCCTGCCAAAGCTGTTCAACACAGCGCTCTACATAGAGACCCAGGCGCTACATCACGGGATCAGCGATATGACAATATTGTAAGCATAAATTAGTTCACTGGTTTGAAATTTATTAAAACTAGAATTTTTAGTAAGGATTATTAATACATACTTACTTACTTAACTTAACTTAATTAAGGTTTGATCTTGTTGTATTGCGTGTACTGTTTGAAATGTAACATAGCGTACCCATCGCTAAATCCGGTCACCGTCCTCGTTGAACTCGTCGCTTGCGACGAAGGGCTCGACGAGCGAATTAACCCATAGACACAGCCCACTGAGTTTCTCGCCGAATCTTCTCAGTGGGTCGCGTTTCCGATCCGGTGGTAGATTCTCCGAAGCACTGCTCTTGCTAGGGTCAGTGTTAGCAACTTAGCATCACTCCGGTTTGAGCCCCGTGAGTTCACCTACTAGTTAAGGTTACGCTGAAATAGCCTCTCAAGGCTATCATCTTAGGTAGGAAAAATAATAATCACTAAACTGTTTTTCCTTGATTGATCTTTATTTTTTTTACTTTAAGTAAAAACAATCAAACTGACTATTTTTTTAAATTAAGAAATCGCATGTTCGTTTTACCAAATCGAAACTAATATATTTATGAATCTCTTTAAACAGGAATTTATGGTAAAATATATCCTGCGACACGGAATGGCCCCAGAAAAATTGGTGCTGGGTGTACCGCTTTATGGTCGCAGTTATACTTTAGCACCATCGACAAATCCTTATCCGGGAGCCCCCATCGATGGATGGGGAGAAGAAGGACCATACACTCAAACGAAGGGACTTCTAGCTTATTTTGAGGTTTATATTTTGGTTTCCATAATTAAAGATAATTGAAATCACCTTTAACATTTCTGTAGTGACAGCTTTGTTGTTTTATTTTTAGATATGTATGGCTGAACGCGAAGGTAAAGGCGTAAGCGGTGTGGATGAAGCTGGTAACGCTTACGCGGTTTTCGATAATCAGTGGGTGACATACGATACCCCATCAACGATCGTTGATAAGGTAATAACAATTAAACAATTTAAATTAAGAACTATTTATTTTTATTTATCTGATTTGTAATAAATTACAGATGAAATACGTCATAAGTAGTGGATTAGCTGGAGCTGCAGCGTGGGCGGTCGACATGGATGACTTCAGAGGGTTATGCGGTTCACCATTCCCAATTCTAAGTGCAATTTCTAAAACATTAAACGGTAATAAAATGTTTATGACGATTTTTCTCTTCAACTATTTGCTTTTACTTTGTTTAAGGCATACTTGTTTTATTACAGGGGAAGAAGTACAAACTGACCAATCGACCCTTAAAATCGGATCGTGCGACTCAAATGCTCCTTACTTAGCTTCCGACGAGGAGTCGTGTGCCCACTTTCATTTCTGCACAGGAGCTATTAGTTATAGAATGTCCTGTGAAGATGATCGTTTATACGACCCTTCCACCGGTTACTGCGGGTATTATTTCGAAAATGACCATATCAATAATCAGATTCTCATAACGATTTTTTTTTCTAATTCCTTGATATGTGTTTAGGCACCAGGATGTAGGTAAATGCCTCCCAGGACAAAGTTTGCGAATCAGTGTGGAAGATGCAGCTCGTTATCTGTCACATGTTTATGAAACAGACTTCGAGGTGAGTGGTTATGATTAAAAATTTAATTTAACTAAAAATACGGATCGATTAATTCATATTCATCTTTTTTTTCAGTGGAACAATGAACCTATGAAAGCAGTGGCCAATCGAGACTCAGAACGCCTGACTTCAGACGATGTAGATATTAAGAAAAGTAACTACTTTGATAAACTCCACAATCATTTCGAGATAATACCGCGGATTTAAAAATAAATGCTAACATTTTAAACCAACCAATTTCAGATAAGGAAAACGACAACAAAGTGGTGTGCTATATGACCAGTTGGGCCTTTTATCGACGTGGCGACGGAAAGTTTGTACCCGAACAAGTGGACACACGTCTGTGTACTCACGTTGTATACGCATATGGCTCACTGTCCCCTGATGAACTTGTTGCCAAAGAATTTGATCCTTGGGCTGACATAACCAATAGTAAGAATTTAAACACAATTTAAACGGTTTTCTCATCATTATCAAAAATCGACTTTCATTCGATGAGTAATAAAACTTATTTGATCTTCTTTGCGCAAAATAATATTTAATTTAATTATATTTTTTTAGATTTGTACGAACGTGTCACATCACTCAGAGATGTTAAAGTCCTCCTTGGTTTAGGAGGATGGACAGACTCAGCAGGAGATAAATATTCTCGTTTGGTATCTTCAGATTCAAATCGATCTAAGTTCATAACGAAACTAATACCATTCCTTCGGATGCACAACTTTAAGGGCCTCCACCTGGATTGGAACTATCCCGTTTGCTGGCAAAGTAATTGCAAGAAAGGTGCTCGTTCTGATAAAGCAAATTTTGCTAAATTTGTACAAGAATTAGCGAAAGCATTACACGGTGCCGAAATGGAACTAGGAGTCGCAATCTCTGGTTACAAAGAGGTCATTGAATCAGCGTACGATTTAGCAACAATATCGCGTGAGGCCGATTTTCTAAGCGCTATGACATATGATTACCACGGTGGTTGGGAGAGAACTACCGCTCATCACACGCCCCTGATTCCATCGCCCAAAGACGCATTATCGTATTATTCTATTGTGAGTATTAAATTACAAATTCTGATTATTCTGTAATATGTAATGAACTTTACTTAGTAAAACACAACACATCACGCCGTTGATTTTTGAGATTATTTTTTATACTGCACTCTTTGTCAGTGAATATTTAAAATCAAGCGCAGAACAAGTAATTTATTGTTCGTTAATGAAAAGCATATTTGGGTTTTGATATCAAATTAAATTCAAATTAGCTGTTGATTAGCACTTTAGAATAAATGGCTGTTATTAAAATTTCTTTCTTTTTTACAGGAGTATGCAATCAAAGCGATAATTAGCGGTGGTGCCGATCCGAAGAAATTGCTCCTCGGCTTATCGTTCTACGGTCAGTCCTACAGATTAGCGGACGTGGAAAGCACCAGCGGACCCGGGGCACCGGCCGCCGGCCCTGGCGAACCTGGGGAGTTCACCAAGCAGCCCGGAATGTTGGCCTATTACGAAGTCTGCTATAGAGGTAATTTCTTGTGTGAACAGTCTTCATGTAAACATTTACATTAACGCATAAAGTGGCCTAAGCGTCAACATATTGATTATCACATACAACCAGTTTAATAGGAATTTCTTTTTACAGTGAAGAATTTGCGTTGGAAAACGGGACGACAGACAAACGCAGGACCTTACGCCTATTCAGACAATCAGTGGGTCGGATATGATGACCCGAAGTCTATTACCGAAAAGGTTTGTTCAATATTTGTTAATTTACGCTACCAAATTATCCAGCAGTTCAAACGGAATTCTTCGACTGATTGGATCACATTTTTAAATTACACTAGTTGTTTGATGGTCCAGCTTTCGGCCGACCTGGTCATTGGTGATTACCAAAGCCACAGATACTACATTGTAGATACAGCCACCTACTTTGAAAGATAGATGTAAGTCTCAATCCTTTTCATTACAATGTGAAACCGAACCACATGACTATTCCACGCAATAATAATAGCAGGAAGGTGAATTTGCAATATGCATTCTGCAAGTTTGATTTTCAATTAAAGGTCTTCACGAACGATTGTGATGGTAGCTGTTTGTTTCTGCGGGAAAGGAATAATGCGCTATGATTTGAGCATAGCTGTTAATCCAATGCAATACAAATTTAATCGAACACCGAATGAGTTATGTATTTATTTATTTATGTACACACAGAAAACAAGACACAGTACAGAGTAATAGACAAATTATGTAAAATTATATCCGTTTGCTGCTTTATGCCACCGAAAACAAATGTTAACGTTTAATTTATAATGGTTCAGGTGGAATGGGCGATGCGTCTGGGACTGGGCGGCGTGACCGCTTGGGCGATAGACTTGGACGACTCCAGTAACCGATGTTGCGCAGAGCCGTACCCGCTACTACGAGCCGCTGGCCGTGCTCTCGGCCGTTCTGTGCCTTCGCCGCCCACCACGCCCTGCGAACGGCCGCCCGAGCCTGTCACTCCCGCTCCCCCCACTACTACCCCTGCAGAGTCCGATGGTTCGTTTTTATTTCAATAACACAACGATTTTATTAAAATATATTAGTTTCTTCGTGTATTGAAACTTATTAATACGCTTTTATTAGCTTCAGACGTATGTATGTTTGTAACGGAATCTTTGAACATAATTTTGGACTCCCCTTCAAAACGTCGTATTAACTCGAAGTTTGGTATACTTATTAAGGGCCGATGACAATTAAATATTTTTAAATAATTTGAAAAAATTTATTGAAAAAATTGAAATTCAACTAAAAAATGAAAAATAAATATATAATAGTTTAAAAAAACTAATAAAATACGCTTTTATAGAAAATCCAAGTAAAAAATAGAAAGTAAATTTTATTAAAATTTATATTAAATTATTAATAATGAAATTATTATTATATTATTAATTAAATTTTTATTAAAATAATAAATTTGAATTAAAAATAGTGTAAGAAAAAATGATTTTATTGTAAAAAAAGCGTGGGGTGCATGGTATCAGTTGTTACAAACAGTAGTATACAATAAAATAATTTTCTATAAAAGCTTATCTTGTTAGTTTTTTTAAACTATTATTTATTTTAATTTCACGATCGCCGCAAAGACTGGTCTTTTGATGTCATATCAAATCATAGATATACTTAGTTGGTTTGTGTCTACATACTAAATGATGTAATTTAATTTGTTATCTCGCATATTCAGGTGGAGCGCACGGTGATCACGGAAGTCACGACCATCATACCTCCACGACCTGGCCAAGCTGGAATCCAACCACTACAAAACCAACCACTACAAAACCGACCACCGCTCAAACCTGGTGGCCCCCTGCTACCACCACCACCACGACCACCAAACGCCCAACCACTATTTCCACCACCAGACCAACAACTAAACCAACAATCAAACCAACAACCAGACCAACAACCAAACCCTCGACTAAGCCGCCATCCGTCACAGGTCAGTTAAAAGGCAAACAGTTTTCCCGAAATGATCATTATTTATGTAGGTATATAATGTATTTTTACAATACATAATGCAGATACAGGTACAATGGTAGATCAAAGGACATGGACATTTGCTAAAAAGACTTAAAGTCATGCAATTATTTTTATGAATTTCATTTATTTCCTTAATTTGCGTAATTACTGGTGCTATTACTGTTCTTAGCACTACAAGAACGGGTTCTGTTCCAATAGAATCGACAACCGGCTGTACAAACAGTTTTTTTTTTTTTCGTAAATTATTTCTCTCATTCGTCTATTCTCGTTCTATTAACAAGTACTTATTTACCGCATTTACTTATAGCATGGCTTTATTTCGTTATTAAAAATTAAACATATTGTGGCGAAACATTTGGTTCCGTAACGCGCATGCGCGACTGAAGAAATCTAGGAGGCCATAACCCCCGCCATGACAAGAAAAAACATTGTACATTTTTTTTTTAAATTGCTAGATGGCTGGACGACCTCAAAATCTCAGGACCTCTTGTGAGTCCGCACAGGTAGGTACCACCGCCCCGCCTATTTCTGCCGTGAAGCAGTAATGTGTTTCGGTTTGAAGAGTGGGGCAGCCGTTGTAACTATACTGAGACCTTAGAACTTCTATCTCAAGGTGTGTGGCGCATTTACGTTGTAGACGTCTCTGGGTTCCAGTAACCACTTAACACCAGGTGGGCTGTGAGCTTGTCAACACATCTAGGCAATAAAAAATAAATAAATAAAGCCGCTTTTATTTAAGCGTCCTAATATATCCTGTACTATTAGGAAGTGTAGAAGGCGGGTCATGCACTGCCGGTGAATACAGCGCAGCGCCCGGAGACTGCGAGGGATACTTGCAGTGCGAGGGGGGACAGTGGCGGAAACATCGCTGCGCACCCGGCTTGCACTGGGCACCTTCTGTCAGTCGGTGCGACTGGCCCAGTTTCGCTAAATGCACTGGTATAACTTACTTATATGTATATGCTTTAATTGGCGTAAATGATACTTTAACTTTCCAAACACTTTGCGGCAGTGATAGACAAAACGTTGACAACATTTTTCATACGTGTATTCACAATTAGACAAACTATTTATTCTCGGTGACAGTAATAAATAGCGTATTGCACTGGGTATCTAGACTTTATGAAAATTACCGCAGATATTTTGGAAGCATATTTTTTATCTATCTGCTGCACTAGTGTTTAGAGGATCTAACGTTATAATTATAATCTGTCCAGTTTAAAAAAAAAAACTCGTTGGGTTAGTGATATTTATTTCTTTCTAATCACCCGTCTGTAGTCACCTCAGCTTTTTTTTCATGCATAGATGAGTGTTAACTTGTTATTAGTTATTGCTTACCCCGGGGCCTTTAAAAACAAAATTGTGAACGACGTAACAGAACTTGAAATTTTATAATAGTTCCCCTCATTCCTACCTCGCGGAATAATTGTGGTATGCCCTAATACTTGTGATGCCTTCGATGCCCGCACATATGCTGATACCATCCTTTCTACTTGTCCCACCGAAGCAATTATGCATTGACGTTTAAAGTGCAGTGAAGCAGTTTAACTTTATTTCAAATAATTTGAAATTTCGACATAACGTTTCAAAATGGCGGCATTCACTCTTCGAAGCAAACGCCCAAACGAATTTATATTAGTCCTTCGACATTTGAAAAAAGACTATATTGACACTCAATGGATTATCAGAAATGTTTATTTTCTAGCTACATCCAGTAGTGAATCTAGTACGGCAACCACAACTCTGGCTCCGATGACGTCACGTCCGCCGCCTAGACCCACAACTAGTAGGTGGACGACGACCACGACAACTACCACAACAACTACCACAACTACCACTAAGAGACCGACAACTAGACCTACAACTGTAGCATCAGGTTTATATGAATTTCCTAATTAATTACAATTATAGTTAGAACCCAATAAATGTTTTATATATGGCGACAATAAGATGGAGCTCACGATTTTGGCGTAAGCTTTAAAATTGGCATAATTTTCATTTTAAATTTGCCAGTGATTTCAATGAAACAATTACTAAAGTTAATTGATATGTTCAATACTTGTTGGTTCGACCACTGTGAGAATTGTGTGACCAAGTGTTCTGATAATTTAAGATCAACAAAAGTCCGTTTACGTTTAACAAACATCCAATAATTATTATTTTATTGAAAAAAAAGTGTTTAAATTAGAATGTATTCATAACACTGCTACTTAACAGGCATTCATAAGATAACTTTTTCATTGTATTTCAAGATCCCGTTTCCGAGGGGAAGCCATGTGGCAGTCAAGATTACGAAGCAGTGTCTGGTGACTGCAGCGCGTATCTGCAATGTGACAGCGGAACTTGGCGCATTCAGCACTGCGCTCCTGGATTACACTGGAGCCCGGCCCATAAGCACTGCGACTGGCCTAAATACGCACAGTGTGGAGGTAGCGACTTTATAATACTCAAAACGTATAAAAGGGTTCGTCTCGCGTTAATTCTATTCGTTTTACAATTCCCGCTACTCATTCGTGCAAGATTATGAAATTCCACAATCCCTGAGTAGTGTACAACGATAGCAGACTGGGATTCCTGGCATAGTAGTCATACATCTCTTTGATCAAGATATTTGGTGAACCAAAACTTGTATGTATTATCGGTATCCACAACACAACATCAAATCCTAACTTGAAGTTGCTTAATATAAAAATTTCAAATGCTTATAAAAAAACATTGCATTATAAAAACAACATTCAACTGATTAAGCAGCTACTATATTAACGCTTCTCACTTTATACAATTTAATGCTTTTTAAAGAAAACTGTTATAACATATACAATGAAAACAAAACTGTAATTGCAACGAAGTTGGTCATGTTGAGATGAAACATTCTTTTAAAAAAGATTTATTGAATTATATTTTCTCCGGATCTGGCGTGTTGTGAACACAATTTAAAACCACTTTTACTGGTTAAGCTCCCGTTTATTTATTATCATTAGCTTATTTCGAACGTTTGGAATATTTTACAGTTTTCGTGATCATGAAAGAAAATTAAAATATAATGACAATTAACAATGCGAGGTTGAGCTGTAAATGTAGTTTTAATTATTTATTGAATTGTTTTAATAGATTCCGCAACTACTACAACAACCCTTAAGCCGAAACCAACTCGTCCACCAGTACAAGCTACAAGACCAATGACTACACAAGGTCAGTAAACCTTAAAGTTTTTTTTTTTTATTGCTTATATGGGTGGACGAGCTCACAGCCCACCTGGTGTTAAGTGGTTTCTGGAGCCCATAGACATCTACAACGCAAATGCGCCACCCACCCTGAGATATAAGTTGTAAGGTCTCATCAGTATAGTTACAACGGCTGCCCCACCCTTCAAACCGAAACGCATTACTGCTTCACGGCAGAAATAGGCAGGGCGGTGGTACCCACCCGCGCGGACTCACAAGAGGTCCTACCACCAGTAATAAGTAATAACTTCCCACAATGCAATCTATTTAATTGATAATACAAATTTTTAACAGAAACAGAAAACCGATTTCACAGAATAAATTAACTATAAACGAAAATATGCTTTTTTTGAGAATAACTCAAAAAGTATTGGTTAGATGATAATGTAATCTAAACGGCACTACATGAGGGCACTAACTTTCAAATGGAAAAAGAAGCATCGAAATCGTTGCTCGTAGAAAAAGTTTTGACATATTAATATTACACCCAAAAATATAGTTAATTTAATGATCCTTTTTGTGAAGTCGTTTTTTCTTCAAACCCAATAAGTGGAAAATACCCAAAATCAGCAGCGATCTCTAAGCATTAACGTATGAGCCACCTGGGTACAAATAACCAATTTGCTTCTTTCTGGTACGAAGCAATAATACGTTCAATTTCAAGGGTTCCTTTCTGGTACGAAGCTATAATGCGTTTCAATTTCAAGGGTGCCTTTCTAGTACCAAGCAACAATGAGTTTCAGTTTCAAGAGTGGGACGGGATAGCCGTTATACAATTGATATTTCGACATCACGTCTTAAGGGACAATGGCAACATTCACGTTGCGATCTATGATCTTCCCGTAATCAATAGCACCTTTTTACAACACTAAAAAGTTTGGTTTTAAATGATCACTTTAACATCTCAGCTTCATCAAGTCAACCACATGAAGACGACGAGTGCAGCAGCAGTGACGTACACGCTTCAGCGTCCACATGCGACTCGTACTTGCTGTGTGTGAGCGGACATTGGCGCAAGCAGATGTGTCCGCCGGGACTTCACTGGGACAAACGGACCAAGCGATGCGATTGGGTCGAATTCGCTATGTGTGAAAGTAAGTATCAAACTATTTTAACAATATTGTCAAAAAAAAATCATATTTGGAAACAGATAAATTACCAGAATAGCTGAGATAGACCAAAATATAACAAAGTAGAGAAACGTCAGAAAAAAAAAATTCTTTTCATTCTGAAATGTCGATATAAAATAAAAGTGACTGGACAATCAAATGGTCTTTGAGGCTGCGTAAATCATAGTTCCAGTGGTAACCGGAGTCGAAGTCTGTCTGTCACCATTCGTTACAACGTTTGTTCCTAATATAAACCGGCAAATGCGTATTCTACTACGATATCGCTCAGCACGATATATGCTACTTCAACCAAGGCTTAACAAAACTATTTTAGAGTAGGCAGCGTTCAGACTGATAAACGTTTATCAGATGTGTCCGGAAGTGTGTCGATAGAAGAACATAAAACATATTTCCCGCCATAAATTTTCATTTTTTTCCACCATTAACCAACATTAACTTGAAATGTTTCGCAGCAAAACCATCAGCTACCAAGTCGCCAATAACAGTACCGACAAAAACGACTACGTCAGCTACCCGCAGACCAACAACTACGAGACGACCATGGACGACTACTACTTCAAAACCATGGGCCGACGAACCCCAGAAACCTGGAAAAGTATGAATATTTCTTATTTGTACTTTACACTTATATTGTTTAAATGGCAATTTGAACTTTTTTATCGCGTACCCTAACTTGAAAAAAATTGGCAAAAAAAAAGAAATTATTTCATACCTTATTGGGACATTCCTACCCCTCTTGGAATGAAGAATACAATAGGCTTACATTAATCAGTGAGTCATCGCACCCAAATTCGTTATTTATATTTAACTCTTATCACACATAAATAAGTTCCAATTCAATAATGGGCTCGTCTTTGCACGACAGGGTTGCCGCACCGGCACGTATCATGCGCACCCGAAGTGTGAGAAGTTCTACGTTTGCGTGAACGGTCTACTGATAACGCAAAGCTGCGCGCCGGGGCTGGTGTGGCGCCCAGATCGCTCGCAGTGCGACTTCCCTGGCTCCAGCTCATGCTCTGACCGCAGGCAGGGCGTCTCTGCACCCATACTCGACGCGACTAACTCGGCCTCTACTGCCGTCCATGTGCAAGAAGAACCGGGTGCGTCTACCTACACACTACATAATTTTTTTAAAATCAATATTAGTTACATTTGCCTTTTCAGAAATTGCCATTCATTCGTTTATCCTTTTTGTCACAAACATTATTTTGTGATTAACTTAATGAGCATTGTTTTTTTTTAGAATTTTGTGAAAACGGCCAATATGCTTCATTCCCAAATGATTGCTCAAGATATCGACATTGTTTATTCGGTAAATTCGAAGAGTATTCATGTAGCCCCGGCTTACATTGGAATCAGGTTTGTGAATTTTAGAAGCTCTTAATTTAAAGGGACAAATGCTCAAAAACAACTTTCACGTGATTAATTCTAATCAATTTGGCAGGAAAAACAAATATGTGATTGGCCAAACAACGTCAAATGTTCAATGAAAGGCACGACTCCGATAACCACGACCACGACTACGACGACATTTCGTCCCGTCGAAATGGATACTATTCACGAGGAACCTCAAAAGCCATATGTACCGTTAAGACCATCAGCACCCCCTTCTGGAACAAACTCTGATATATCAACGAGACCGGCTCTGCTTAATTGTAAGTTTTACCTTTCTGATTCAAAGTAAGAACTTTTATTTTTCGATAAGACCGCCATTTTCGAACTCGCTCGAAATTTAAAAAAATCCCAAGTGAATTAAACACATTTTTTAAAATTTATTTTTAGCACGCTATAAGCTAGTTTGTTATTACACAAACTGGTCCTGGTACAGGCCCGGTATAGGAAAATACAGTCCAGAAGATATCGACCCTACGCTTTGTACGCATATCGTTTACGGATTTGCAGTCCTGGGATCAGATGGACTTATAACTGCCCACGACTCTTGGGCAGATTATGATAATCGTAAGTTTAGGATTACAGCTTATTAGTAAATTTATTTAACATTCTACGAAGAAAACGGTGTCAGAAATATGGCGCAGTAATTATAAGCCCCAATCAATAAATTATGTACCTAACAAGAATTATACGATTATTTCATTCTTCCACAATCTAATATTAATTTTTTTTTGGCAGAATTTTATGAACGCGTAGTTGAATTTAAAAAATACGGTATAAAGGTTTCCATTGCTATCGGAGGATGGAACGACTCGGCAGGAGACAAATATTCTAAGTTAGTGAACGATCCCGCAGCAAGGGCCAGATTTGTAAAACACACTTTGTCATTCGTTGAGCAGTACGGATTCGACGGACTGGACCTCGACTGGGAGTATCCTAAGTGCTGGCAGGTAATTGCGATTTGTGTTCGAAATTAGTAGATGCGCTTCTGGAATAAAGCTTCTGGAATATGAAAATACTCGCTATATAATAATATGAAAATTTCCGCTTCATTGACTTTTAATGACATTAATTGGCAACTCTTGTGTGCTTTGCTACCCAAATAGACAAGAGCAGGAGAAGATATATTACTGATTAAAAAAGTGTGTATTTAAAGAGTATTATATGTGTAAAAATTGTATGACAAGTATATAATATATAAATAAGTATATATATATAAGAATATATAATCTCGCAAAACAAGTTCAAGTATATAATAAAAGAGAATCTAGGACTCGTATTTCTAGAAATCGCTAATAAGAAAACTTACAGCTAGTTTTAATCATTCATGTCGTTCTTTTTCTAGGTTGACTGTTCTCTAGGCCCTGATTCGGACAAGGAAGCATTCGCTGACTTAGTTCGAGAGCTCTCAGCAGTTTTCAAGCCTAGAGGCTTGCTGCTATCGGCCGCTGTATCACCTAGCAAAATGGTTATAGACGCCGGTTACGATGTCCCAGTATTGGCAAGACATCTTGACTGGATTGCTGTTATGACGTACGACTACCACGGACAATGGGACAAACAGACAGGACACGTGGCGCCCTTGTACTATCACCCTGACGACGACAAAACTTACTTCAATGCCGTAAGTTGAAGATTTTGTAAAATAGAATAAGTACTTTTCATTAAACAAACAACTAGCATGAAAACTTTATGATTAATGTATGTGTGAAGTATTCGAGGGCCTCAGACTTGGATTTGCTGCTTTGTTATAGCAGACCTCATATACATATAGTAAAGATACTAATTTGAGTCGTGATCGATCCAGAACACCGTGAGACAGTAGTCAGAGTGACTTACCCAAATGCCAAATACGTAGGCGTTTATTTTTTTAATTTAACAGAAATTGGACTTTTTTTTTTTTATTACTCTTCCTCCTTATAACTACTAACACTCTCGCTTGGCTTAGTGACCTCGCTCAGTATTAGTTGGATTTTCTTCTCGCACTGTCGCAGATATTATAGCGGTAATATTATTTTCACAGAATTATACAATGCATTATTGGATGAAAAAAGGGGCTCCAGCTTCTAAATTGGTTATGGGTATGCCGATGTACGGGCAAACGTTCACTATAGAAAACAGAGGGATACACGGTTTGAATGCCCCAGCCTCGACCGGCGGAGCGGAGGGTGAATACACAAGAGCCAAAGGATTCTTATCTTACTATGAGGTAAATAATACTTTAGTACTCTAGCGTTCACATCCAATTTAAATTATAACAGACTCGAATGGAACTTTCGTAATTTATAATTTTGCGTGATCACTAGCAGTAGGTTATGGTGCACTGTAAGTCACAATCTCGTGTTCCAGACCTGCAATATCATGACGTGGTCTATGGGGCTCTAGAAGATGTTTTATACCAACAGAGGCTTAAAATGTTCTGTATATTTTTGTCATAGACAAAATAGACTTAAACAAAGCATTTTTACGGTCAATGAAACAAACAATGTTCACATTATTACAGATATGCGATCGAATCAGGTACGACGGATGGACAGTTGTCAAAGATCCGCTACAACGAATGGGACCATACGCCTACAAAGGCGATCAATGGGTCTCATTTGACGACACCGACATAATTAAGCAGAAAATTAATTTCATCAAATCCCTTAACCTTGCTGGTGGCATGGTCTGGGCTTTAGATCTTGATGACTTTAGGAATAGGTAAAGCATTTGGTTTTTACGTAAATGACTAAAGTGTGTAAACAAATTTGTGATTTATCATTTTCTATTTAAAGGTGCGGACAAGGCAAGCATCCCTTAATAAACGCGATTAAAAAAGGTTTCCTTGATCAAGAAATCCATGACGATCCTATAGTAACAGAACCTCCATTGTTAGAACCTCCAAACGATATTGATGACTCTGACGATATTGAAGTGAGACCCGTTCATTCAAGACCAACTTCCAAGCCAATGAGAGATCCAATGCAAACAACTATGGCAATACAAACAACTAAGAAACCGTCAACTACCGTAGCTCCGTTCGTTGAAGAGCGTTACAGGGTTGTGTGCTACTATACAAACTGGGCTTGGTACAGGTAAGATCTCTCTCTGTCCGTAGTCGGGTGAAAGGATTGTTAGCACAACATATGCTAGCACCGGAGTAAGGAGCAAGTCCAAATTCTTGTCGTACTGCGCCAGATCGACTCTTCATCGAAATAGTGGCCCAGTCTGTATGTTCACGTATAAATCGTTGTGGCAAAAGCTAGTTCTGGGAGAATAATAACTGAGGAAAGATAATTAAAAAGTGCTGCACCAGCTTTCACGATTTATCGATATACCACAGTCATACAGTGTCCGAGCTTTATTATAAAATGAATCTATTAAGAACATAGGTGCATATAAGCACCATGAAAACTCGTAGACACAGACATTTTTCTTTAAGTACATGTGACACGTAGAACGCTGAGGCCTGCCCATCCTCGAATCTACGGATTTTTTAAACGACAGGCACGCATAATACGGTTGGACATGGAATATATTTATTTGAAATACTTATTTTTTTAGGCCTGGATCTGGTAAATTCACTCCTAGCAACATAGATCCTTCTCTTTGTACACACATCGTATACGCGTTTGCTGTCCTCGATACAACCCGCTTAGTTATAAAGCCTCATGACATTTGGTTGGATGTCGAAAACAGTAAGTCAATAACACTTTTATTATATTGATCACTAGATTTAGTAGTTAAAAGTGGCGCCTAATCGGTGTACTGTAATCAGTTTGGTTAGCTTAATAGCAAATATGGTATTTATTCTTACTTTACACAAAATTTTACACAGTATTTGATAAAAGGACTCAAGGATTATGAACTTTTTTCAGAATTCTACGAGAAAGTAGCTTCCTTGAAGAGCAATGGTGTTAAAGTTGTTCTCGGTTTGGGTGGATGGGACGATTCAGCAAGTGACAAATACTCGAGATTAGTAAACAGTGTATCTGCTCGTAGAAAGTTTATTGTACACGCCATAGACTTTATTGAACAGTATGAATTCGATGGCTTAGATCTAGACTGGGAATATCCAAAATGTTGGCAAGTGAGTAACTCTTGGCAACATTGATATTCATATGTAACTTTTTTGGGACCATACTTTATAGTAAATAATATTTCAGGTAAATTGTGAAAAGGGCCCAAGTTCAGACAAACAAGGATTCGCTAATCTTGTAAAAGAATTAAGAGCTGCGTTTGGTCCCCGAGGTCTTCTCCTTTCCGCTGGCGTTTCTGGAAGTAAACGCGTTATCGACGCAGGTAAATTACTCTCAGTGTATAGAACATATAAACGAATAAACTATATAAACTTTAATCATATTTTAACCACCAACAAGAAAATTGTGTTTTAATAATATGCCACGTTTTCTTATTTATGTGAAAAGAAGCAAAATTTAATTATTTTTTTATTTTTAATAATTATTATTACATTATAATACTTTGTGTATTAATTGTATGTATATTTACGGAGATATGTATGTGTATATGTATGTGTACATATATGTATATGTATTTCACTGGAATAGTACACCGCGCATAGTTCGTTTCCAAATGATTCTTGTCCACCTGATGGTTGTCTGGAAGAGATCGCTCTTAGCGATAAGACCGCCAATTGTACTTTTTTATGTTTAATGTATCGCACTGTTTATTTGTTTTTTGGTGTACAATAAAGAATACTCTCTCTCTTTCTCTCTCTCTCTCTTTCTCTCTTTCTCTCTCTCTCACGTTTTTGTTGTTTGACTTGTCCTAATATGTTGTTTAAACACATTATGATCACGTTTTAATGATGATGATTTCAATAGGATATGATATACCAACGTTGTCGAGAAACCTAGATTGGATTTCTTTGATGGCATACGACTACCACGGACAATGGGATAAAAAGACAGGTCACTTAGCCCCCATGTACGCCCAAGAAGACGAAATTGATGATACTTTGAATGTAGTAAGTAAAAAACTCAATACTAACCACACGAGCGAAGTAAACTGCTATTTACCATTTTCGAATTACTTTCTAGAACTACACAGTCAATTACTGGATAGACAAAGGAGCCGATAAAGAGAAACTGGTTATGGGAATTCCATTCTACGGGCAATCGTTTTCATTAGTAGAGGGCGTTGGAACTGGTCTCGGAGCTGAAGCCTACGCTGGCGGAGAAGCTGGAGATGAAACTAGAGCTCGAGGATTTTTATCTTTCTATGAGGTAAACTTTTTTCAATTAAAAAGAAGAGTTTTGCATATGTAAGAAAAAATTAATGTTTAATTGTTGTCGTCTAGATATGCGAACGCATTAGGGTGCAAGGTTGGAAAGTAGGTCGTGACCCGGGCGGCCGAATGGGTCCTTATGCTGCATTCGAAGACCAATGGGTATCATTTGACGATGATTACATGGTACGTCATAAAGCCGAATACGTTCGGGCTATGGGACTTGGAGGTGCTATGGCGTGGGCTCTAGATCTTGATGATTTCACTGGAAAACATTGCGGATGTGGAAAGTCGCCTCTTTTGAAAACTATTAATCACGTACTGCGTGGGAAAGAAGCTTCTCCACAGTGTCCACTAGAAGAAAGTAAGTCCGAAATATAATATTAATCTCTTAACTCAATATGCAGTAGTAAAATTTGCCAGAATTTTTTGAAAATCTTATAAATGTTAACAGTACAAGCACCATCTACTGAAGTTGCAGTCGTTGAACACGATCATGATCATGATCATGAACATCATGATCATCACGATCATGGTGAAGACGGACATGACCATAATGAAGAACATATGACTCCTGATATGGCAAAACCTCCACCTAAGCCACAACAAAGACCAGAGGACGTTGATATTACTGTAAGCTTTATAGAACCCCTTATCTAAAATAAAATAATTTATTTACAATATTACCTTTTAAATATTTTAGTAGAGAAAAAATACGTTTTTTTATATCTGCTTGAAGATTTCAAAATTATAACGCGTGCCATTTATTCGCTCGCGAGCAAGTACAACGTATCGTCTCTTTTTTTCAGGGATCAAGCCTTGAAGGCAAATCTTGCACAGGAAACGTTTTTAGGTCAGACAACGCCGATTGTACGAAATACTATTTATGTATCAATGGAGCATATATACAACTTCAGTGCCCGGAACCTCTACACTGGAATAAGGTAACTCTCTCAACTCTCTCAACTTTCAATATGTTAAGAACTATGTTTTTATTCTCACGCAATGTATTAAATTTTAGAATCACTGCGATTGGCCCGAGAAAGCTCGTTGTGGAACTAAGGCTCAGTTGAAAATAGCCGGACAGTATGACCAAGAGACCCAAGCCGACAAACCTATCCTTGCTTGTTATTTTACAAACTGGGCTTACTATAGGTAAAGTTTTTACATTACATCATTATCCCAACTTCTAAATTCAACTACAAATTATCGAAACAGAAATTATCAAAAATAAATAATGGATAGACTATTCAAGCTGAGTCAGATAAATTAATACGATTAAAGTGTACCAGTACCTAAGACGATCAATGCTCTGGAAGCTATTCTTATTCCATTGCATTTACTTATATGCATTGACTGTTTCATTATAGGAAAGACAGCGGTAGTTTTGGACCAGAGCAAGTTAACCCATCAATGTGCACACACATCATTTACGCTTGGGCACATCTTGACGACGAAACCTATAAGTTAGTACCGGGAATACCGGAACTAGATCTCGAGAACGGTGAGAATTATTTCGTTTAAAAATATAAAGTGATGTGACACATAATCGATTACTAATTCCATATCATTGAATTTCAGACTTTTTCGGAAAGATTACCGAATTAAAGAAAACCGGAGTAAAAGTGATATTAGGCGCGGGAGGTTTAGTAGATTCGGAAAGCGACAAATGGAAACGGATGGCTTCTACTGCTGAAAACAGAATGATATTCATAGACTCAGTTGTTAAGTTTGTGAATAGGTGGAATTTCGACGGAGTGCAAATTGCTTGGCAGTATCCAGTTTGTAAACAGGTGAAGGACTTATTATTAATAAATATAAAAATAAATTGCTGTCCGTTAGACTCGCTAAAACTGGAAAACGGCTGAGCCGATTTGGCTAATTTTGGTCTTGAATTATTTGTGGAAGTCCAGAGAAGATTTAAAAGGTAGATACATATGAAAATGCTCGGAATTAAATAAAACAGCAATTTTGTTGTTCCTTTAATGTGTCCCCCAAAAGTTTAGGTCTTTTATTTATCGATTGAGGCACTACGAAGTCTGCCGGGTCAGCTAGTTATTAATAAATAAACAAGAGAATCAACAAAACCTATCTTGCTGTAATGTGGATTACTAATAATTATTTCATTATTTTAGGCTCCGTGTATGTATGCATCACGAGACTTCTCTGACGTGGACAACTTTGCCGATCTCGTGTCAACACTATCTAAAGTACTCCGACAGCACGATCTGGAGTTGTCGGCTATGGTCTCAGCCAATCCTGAGATAGCAGCGCTGGCATATAAGCCCCACATACTATCAACAGAATTGGACTGGATATCTGTAGCGGCTAACGACTTCTATGCATCGAATACGGGTCGAGCATCGTATCTCATGCAACTGGATAACAATCAAAATGCAGGAATCAATAGTATGGTTAGTACCCACATTTGGAAAATACGTTTTTCACTTTAATTATATCTAGTGTCTGCTTTTTCTCAAAGAACCTACACAGACGATGCCTAATGTCAAAGTATTGGGATTACAAAGCTTGGTAATAAAATTCTTGCACCGGTAAAAGTTGTAGGTATACGTATGCAAATTTCCACGTCAATAGGACATCTTGAAATTGCTGAAAATTACATTAAATTATTCAAAAAGTATGATTTTAACACAGTATTCAAATTACTAAACTAGCTTTATAGACCGCCAAGCCAAGTGATCTGAGTGTGTTTTTGTTGTAATAGATGGATAAACGACCTGACGACCCCCTGCTGTTAGGTTATCGCAGCTCATAGACAACAGCCCGAGATCTATTATCGAAGTTTCAATTGCATTGTGTACGATGCAGCCTGAGTCTGAGAGGCTACAAAATTTTTATATGACGTTTTCTCGATCAAAGAAACCTGAACACATGACTGCATCGTCACAAAAGCGGAAATTATGATGATATATAAATGTGCAGGTTTACAATCCCTATCTTACTAATAGGACAGTGCACGTAGGCGGATAGTATAATCATCGGTCGATTTCAGAATGCATCTCTAGCGTATTGGACTAGTGTAGTACAACTACAGAAGCTAGTGGTGGGAGTACCAGCATACGCTCGCGCCTACACATTGCGAAGTGCGTCCAACGCTGTTGCAGGTGCCCCGGCCTCAGGGCCTGGGGAGCCTGGAAAGTACACAGGGATACCTGGTTTCCTTGCATATTTTGAGGTTGGTTTAATGGTGCAGAGTAATTAAACGAAGGAATCTATAAAATTGCCATTCTGTTCGATTTACATTTCACTTTAATATTATGTACAGTAAATTTGGGGGCAAAAGCAAAGTTATGATACCAAAAATTGGATGGCTTTGTTCGAAAATCAGATTTATACTGGTTTCCATTGTTGCTATAACATTTGAATACATATCGCGAAAGCTGAAATTGCTCTGACGATAATTTCAAAGAATCCTTCATGTACCGATACTGTTTAAAAAAAACAAATATCTATCTTTCTCTATAATTCGTACCGATTCTCTACATTCATTTTCATTTATTTTACTCAATAACATAATCGAACATTTTGGACAGAAATTTAAAATTATGCTTAATTATTATTTAGTCTTATTTTCATTTAAATCAAATTAATTTCATAGGTGAGCTTCTTATTAAAGTGAAACATTTGAGTATATTTTTTCAATGTATCATGTATTTTATTATATGCATAAATTTGGCATTCCTTTTAAGTCTGCAGTTTTTATTGACTACGTTTTGACAAATACCCTCGGGATAAATATTCAAGAATGACCATTATTGATGTATTAATCATCATTTATCTTGCCAATGCGTTAAAAAGGAAATTTACTTTTTAGATTTGTGAAGGTATACGTTCTGGTGAATGGAAAGATACTCATACACGTGATGGCACATTCGCCGTTCACGACAGACAGTGGGCTTCGTACTTAAGTGTCGAGGACGTCCACCGAGTGGGGACGTGGGTGTCGCGTGGTGGCCTGCGGGGCGCGGCGCTGTGGGCTCTCGATCTGGACGACTGGCGCGGGCGGTGCTCCTGCATCCCGCACCCGCTATTAGCTGCTCTACGACAAGGATTAACTGACCCCACGATACCGCTCACTTTATGCGCTTAGTAACAGTTTATGGATTTCTGTCTTCCAACAAAAGTGAATCATGTAGATTGCTCATGAATTCCAGAATTAATTGATGCTTGAAACAATATATATTACGTATTTCCCTGAACAACGACACGGATTCTGTATTAATTTTAAGTTATTTTGAGGTAAATTACTGTTTCAAGATTATTAGTGAAGTATGAGATCTATAAAGAATGTGATATAAAATGTACATTTTACGTAAGATAAGAATTGAAATAAAAAAAAATCCTTGATTTTTACTCGACTGCATTTCGACTGAATTATTCTTTGAGTAAGAGTACAAGGATTATTGACGGGAGCAACATTAATAAATTAAGAGTCATTCGAAATTCGAAATGTGTATTCAATAACCTTACATTTGTGATAGAAATAAGCACGGATGAAAGTTTTAGAAGCAAATAAATGTTTACAATTCTTTTAAATGGCTTTTATTCACTCTCGTTAGATATTTATGGATTAAAAATATCATTGACATCACATAAGCCTAGACTTGCCCAATCCCCCTGCTGTACATAGAACAAAATAACATGTGGCGGGTAGCCATCATACAATACAAGATAATTGACAGATACCTGAATCTCGCTTACGACATTATCAACATAAGTGTATATATGCGTACAAGGTCCGAACAAGATTCGGACCGTCGGTCTACCGAACAACATTCGGACCGTCGGTCTACCGAANTCACATAAGCCTAGACTTGCCCAATCCCCCTGCTGTACATAGAACAAAATAACATGTGGCGGGTAGCCATCATACAATACAAGATAATTGACAGATACCTGAATCTCGCTTACGACATTATCAACATAAGTGTATATATGCGTACAAGGTCCGAACAAGATTCGGACCGTCGGTCTACCGAACAACATTCGGACCGTCGTCTACCGAACAATATCACCGGTGGAAGATCTTTCCTTTGTCGTTAAATATCCCACACTGGTGACCTGCGACGGAACAATTGCAGCCTTCACACTTCATCATCAGCGGATCAAGAACTTCAGTTACCCCCAATCCCGCATTCTCGCAGATAAATAAAAGTCGTCAACAGTCGTCCCACAGCAAGCCAGCATCGCAGCCTCAACAGGACCATCGCAGCTGACTCGCCGCGCTTCCTAGTCCTACGGCACGCGTCTTCACTGCCTCATCACGCCACTACAGTCCATCGCAGCCCACGACCGGATCAACAACGCTTGGGGTCACACATCTCCGGCGTGGCAGCTCTGCATACATGGACTACTCACGGTACTGACGCAGCATTCAAGCTCAGTCTCGATTTATCGCAGACTTCGAGCAGCACTGGCACGTAAGCTAATCTCAGCACGGACAACGCTAATTCAATGACACGACCATCGGTCTCGGAGGGGACTGATGAGGCGAGTAGCCATCACACAATACAAGATAACTGACAGATGCCTGAATCTCGCTTACGACATTTTCAACATAAGCGTGCACATATAAGTTCCGAACAACAACATTCGGACCGTCGGTCTACCGAGCAATATCACCCGCTCGGTGGAAGATCTTCCCTTCGTCGCTTAAGCATTCCTGCAAAAACTTCAGTCATCCATGACCACAAAAACTGTAAAGGTTACGAAAGGGTAGAACTAGAAAATAATGAACCCGAGATTCAGTAAGAATATTGACTTCATCAGAACTTCGCTAAATTTAATTTCATTTAAATGTTATTTTGGAATCAAGAAAGAAAAAAGAGACAAGTCTTATGAGCACCTACCCGGTAGGAACGCATTTCCTTTTCTTTTCGTGTTTGTATTAAATAACGATGATACAAAAATAAAAATTTATAAATCGGTAAAATCGAGGGAAAAGGGCCTAGGGGTAGATGGCCCAAACGACGGTCGGATCAAATAGCGGAGGAACTAAAAATACCTGTCAGCGACGCACTCCACCAAGCTACAGGAACGGGATCGATAGAGACAGCTAGTAGACGGAATCAAACGGAGTCACGATCCTCAGTAATGAGAGACCGATTGGAGAGAGAGAGAGAGAGATATAAAAAATAGAGTCAGTATAAAATAATTAAATGAATCATAAAATATAAATAATTGCGAATCTAGTTGGTATTGCAAAAAAAAATATATTCGGAAAACGAAAGCTGTGAATGCGGATGCCCAGAACAAACTGTGCGCCACATTGTCATGTAATGCCCGCTAATGAAATTCGCAGGCCAAATGAAAGATCTCAAAAATATAACAAAAGAAGCTATCGATTATTTCACAAACTGTAAATTTGAATTATAACCACGCAGTGTAAACGAATGCCATACGATAAATAAATAATTAATTGCAAAAAAAAATCTGGAATATTAGTTAAGAAAAATAATATTATTTTATTTTACTATATTTATTTATTATTATTGATTAAAGATACCTATAAATAAGATTTCAGTTTTGTTAAGCATATAACATGTTGCATACATTACATGATAACATGAACATACAAGATAAAAGGTTTAAAGTCATCGTGGCCTAAAGGATAAGACGACCGGTGCATTCGTGTTGAGCGATGCACCGGTGTTCGAATCTCAGGCGGGTACTAAGTTTTCTAATGAAATACGTACTCAACAAATGTTCACGATTGACTACTTCTACGGTGAAGGAATAACATTGTGTAATAAAAATCAAACCCGCATATTTATAATTTGCGTAATTGCTGGTGGTAGGACCTCTTGTGAGTCCGCGCGAGTAGGTACCACCACCCTGCCTATTTCTGCCGTGAAGCAGTAATGCGTTTCGGTTTGAAGGGCAGAGCAGCCGTTGTAAATATACTTGAGACCTTAGAACTTATATCTCAAGGTGTGTGGCCCATTTACATTGTAGATGTCTATGGGCTCCGGTAACCACTTAACACCAGGTGGGCTGTGAGCTCGTCCACACATCTAAGCAATAAAAATACAAAAGGTGAGTTTGCAAGACATGTCTCCCTAACATTGACCTAATAGAACGAAGGTCACACATCAACAATACTAAACGTAATTAAATAACAGAAATGAACTAACGCCAAACGCCATAGGCACGCGAGACTGTAGCTTCTACAAGTATATTATATGAATTGAATTCGAATAGTAGTAGGTAAAAAGTTTTTTTATAAATATATAATTACATATTTCAAGCTGAATTGTAATTTTTGATAATTTTAGATTAAACGTCCGCATTCAAAGAATCTGTATCGTTTCAAACTATTTGGCCTTGTATTGTTAAGCCAGCGTGTAGTTACGTACTACTTTGAAATTACGTCATCGAATAATAGATTACTCAGTTTCGCTATTAGGTTAGGAAATCGTCGCGATATTTAGTAAAAATTTAATAAATATTTCATAATTTTTGAAATGTTCGTTAAGACCAGATCACACTTATCAGTTAATTTAGAGAAGTGACGCTTAGCTTAGGTAACATGTCGAGGATCAATGAAAACATAACCTATTTGTACAACACTCAGAGCGTGTAGTAAAGCCGTGTTTCGTATGTGTAATACTCTGCTCTTATCTGGTCTAGTATTATACGACTTGTATTAATATAATTTGGTGTGAAAGTGTAACAGGTGGTTCGAGTTGACACTGCTGAAAGTGCAAATAAGGATGGGGAAATATTTATTACGCCAAGCTATTTTGTTCTCTAAGGTGGTTGAATTAAAACCGACTTGTTCACTATTTGGAAATATTAGTAGAAAACTACACACTGATGAGGTATGTAGGGCTGAATTAAAATTTTTGAAATACATTTTAGGTAAATATTTTTCTTCTACATTGAATAGTAGTAATGAACGGGAACCGTCTTCTTCAATAATCACCGGAAATGATAACATTAATGACCAATAAAAATAAAGGTCAATGTTTTTTTTCGATAATGGTAATATTTGGAAATACGATCGATAAATTACATATTGTCTGTGAGGACTGATAAATTATTTCGACAAAATTTTGTAGCACTTAAGAAGTGTTAGGTACTTAAGTAATTAACGGTGGAATAAAGTAAAATATAATTTTAGAATGAGTTAGCATTATTGAAGGAAGGAGTACGCGGAAAATGGAATTCATTTCGAATATTTTTTCGTTTACCAACAACTCATTTATTTAATGTTTTGATTTTTAGATTCCTGTTAAAGAAATCGAAATACCAGTGCAATGGGGTCACCTGTCCGCAAAATTATGGGGTACAGACCAACGCAGACCGATATTAGCTTTACATGGATGGCAAGATAATGCAGGCACCTGGGATCCAATTGCGCCTATGTTATGTAAAAACCGTTCCATATTAGCCCTTGATTTTCCGGGTCATGGATATTCTAGCTGGATCCCTCCAGGTAAGAACCTAATAATTACAATTCCAGAACAAAAATCAAAAGCGTGGTCATTATTTTTCGGTAAATGTAAAAATAAATTTTAATTATTCAATTGAATTTTAAACAGTTTTTATGATATTTGGGACTTGTTATTACGACATTAACAATTTTCACACCCGTTTCTTCACAGGTATGCAGTACTATTCTTGGGAACTACCACGACTCATCATGTACCTGAAAAACTATTTTAAATGGGATAAGGTTTCATTATTGTGTCACTCTATGGGCTCTATAGCGGGTATGCGTTACGCGAGCGTGTGCCCTGACGATGTCGACATTTATATTGCAATAGACAGCCTTATTTACGACGACTACGATTTACATTTAGTGGTTGACAAATATCCAAAAATTTTGGAGAAGAGCCTGTTCGCACAAACACGCTTAGAAGAAGAACCACCGTCTTACACGTTAGAAGAAATAACAAAGCTATGGCACTTAGGAACAACAAAGTCAGTTGCGCTTGAAAGTGTACAGCATTTGTTGAAGAGAGGGGCAAAAGAATCAAAACGCTATCCAAATAAATACTATATCTCGCGAGATGCCAGATTGAAGTACACGTTGTTTAATCCTGAAAGCAAAAAATTTGTAGAGGCTCTGATTAAGAGACTGAAACTCCAACACTGTACATCAAAGCGATAGACTCGCCTTATGCGTCAGATGCTTTTTCTGTGGAAATGCGGGAAATAATCGAAACAAACAATGATAAATTCGAGTGTCACTTTATCCCTGGCACGCATCACGTACACCTCAACAGTCCAGAAACAGTGGCACCTTTAATACAATCTTTTCTAAAAAAATATAATGTACCAATTTAAAAATCCAAATGTGAATTTGTATGTAGACCTTAACATATTTATTTGACGCCGAGTACATTATTCTTTTAGAATAAAAATGCGGGTATGCAGGTTAGTCAATTTCAATAGATTAAATTAGGAAAATCTACATGTTATATTTTTGTTAAATGTTAATTAATTAATTATTTATAATTTTATTACAAGTAACTACTTTGTATGATAAACTACAAGAGAACAATTTTTG